AAATATAACTGGTGTAGATGTACATATAAAACTAGCAAACACTTTCTGGCAGAGAAAAAGTCTGAAATAAATGTGACCGAAACCCTTTCGGGGGGGAGGGGGGGGAGAAAATAATAATAATTAAGCACTCCTGAAAATTATTGCGAGATAATACTATTGTACGTATGTTGGGTAATTAAATTAATTTAATTTGATGTGATAAACGGACTGTTGTTTGCTGCGTGCACAGTACACAATTTCTTTTATGAATGAAGATTAAATATGTAATACATCCACAATAATAGTACAACATTTATATAATTCTGTTAATAAACAATCGTGTGACAACAAATCCAACAAGCAATATTATTATCATTATTAGTATTATTAACGATTAGCGGTTCCGTATCCGGGCTACCGTAATATGCTGGTAGTCCCCCAGGCATTCTATATGTGTCTAACTAAACTAATGTGCCATGTTTTATGTTTAATTAATTATATTAAAGAAGTAGTAAACCTACATTTCTTAACGTCTGGTATCGTTTGTCTAACTGGTTTGAAAGTGAGTTAGGCATATTATAAAAGTCACAAGCACATCTAATTTCCGTTTGTTATTATTTAACAAGTTGGAATTTAAAACACGCCAAAACAGAAAGTATTTATATCAAAATTAATATACTTATTGATTCAGATGTGAATAATCGCTACTGAAAGATGTAATAACTGCATGGATGCACTTATAAAAAGGAAAGTTGAGTCATTAAATATACACACGTTCTTTTGGTAGAAATTAAAATAAATCAAAACCTGAGACGAAAAAAAGTAATTCGTGACACTAAACGAATGCACTTTAAAATCCGATAAGTAATAATTATTTGAATAAGAAATATCAAATTATTGGAAAATAATTGATTAAATTCTCGACTAAATGATTTTATAAACGGTTATTTTTTATAAAAACAATTTACTTATAATACATTTTGTACAGTTAGCAATTATAACATATTAATGTTTTACAAAATTAATTAATTTAATACAGAGTGATTCTGTGATACACTATTTTTTCTTAAAATAATTGCGATTTTGTAGTTTTTCTATATGTTATTTTATAATAGGTAATTACTTATATAAATAAAAGCTAAAGATAAGCTAAATATTTTCCTTTTTTAATATTTTCCAAAGCTTCATCAACAATAGAAACCCAAATTGTAACGTACATACATATTATTAACTTTTTAAATTGAGGATAATTTGTTGAAAATGTTTAATGGTTGATAAACAGTTTTAAATAATTTATTTTAATGTTATATAAGTTTAAAATTTAGGATGAGAGGAAGGGTAGGTATTGTATATTATTATTTTTATAAGAGCTCAAATTAATTATCCAAAACTGGTTATCGATCAGTCACAATTTTCAGCAATTTTTTTTTTTTAAGTGAACAGGTTAATTAAATATATACGTTACCATTTGATTTTTTTAAATTGATCGAGTTTTTGGGAAAAAAAGAAATAAGATACAAATTTTAATATTTTCTAATATAATGTTTAATAACATAAACTCAAGGGTCCAGTAAGAAAAACTACGAAAATGAAATTATTTTAATAGAAAATGAGTGCCTTAATCTATAATGATCACTATGCACAGTACTGCTGCAAATGTTGTTATACTTCAGATTATTTCAGTAAACAGTGTTCTTAGGAAAATTAAGAACAGCTGATAGTATATTACATTTTAACCCTGACCATTTTATGGAACAAATACAAAATAATACATATTATTTGGTTAATGTAAATTTGGAACACCCTTAAACGCCAGGAAGTATACTGACTACTTATATAAAAACAAATATATAAATTGAATAAACATGTAAATATATCAAATTTCACATTTTTCTTCTTTGTGTGAGTTGTTCATTTTGTTTGGTATACATCCTTCAAACACAATGTTTTATCATTATAATTTTATTTTTTATTAAAAAAAATATATATTCATATTGTATACCGGGGATTCGCATGTCAATTTACTATGAGCGTCTGCGTTACAATCCGTGCAGTCGAATAGAATCCGATTCGTTTCATACGTGGAAAGGAAAAGTTACACACTCTAAAAACACGTCATACAAACATACATACAGCGTTACATCATATGTAATATAATTAAATGTTCGATTTCAACTGTTTAATAAACAAATGACTGCTGTAACGACTGGAGGTTCTTATTAAAGTTACGAAGGAGCGGCACTCTAGTCAAAGTGACTATATCTTAAGTTAGACCAATTACACTAAATGCATTAACGAATTTTTAGAAAACATATATTTCTATAAATGTTATTAAAAAAAAAAATTTGAATCATATTAAAAACGTTCGCATAAAACAAATTCTACTCGTGCTTGAGATCTAGCAGTGTATAACAATATTATGTAAAGTACGCGGTAAGAAATGATTAAGTTCTAGAAACTAAACGCTTCAGCAGATAAATATACCGGGTTAAGAAATAGGTATTTAAATAACATTTATCGAATTGTATGGACAACCAAGGTAAATTTATAGTATTCAATTGAATTCTATGAAACTGTAAACCGGAAATGCTCGGGATATGACGGAAGATAGAAAATGTGATTTTCATCAATAGGTAATCGTCTCCCTTCTTTACAATACGGAATGTCTGCCGTGCAGTTTACGGTTAGGTACGCATTCTCAATGGGTAAATGTTGGTCAAGCGATGTGTATTTCACGTAGTGTTACATAAAATGTCCTAATGGATTGTGTCTTTCATCGGATGCAAACACAGAATAGACTGAGATGATAAACAAAATACTATAACGGCACATATACATACATGAAGTGGACAATAAAACGATAGTGTGCAGAATGAGTCATAATACTACTTAAATCGTTTTTCTTATTTTAGCGTTGGCGACTTATTACGCCCGAAACTATTTTCAAAGGACTTCATCAAAACATACGCGTATCTTTCGAACTGTACTGTTTTAATAGCCATATTGTCACATTTTTTTTTTGTGAGTGGTTCATTTTTATTCCATTTTATGCATCGTCAACGCGTAGCAGACTATAAATTATTAGATACTGTGACATAAAGATTTATGATTAGCGATGCGTCTTTAAAAAAAAAGGTTACACCTATTCATTCAACATGTTTAAAAAGTGAAAACGGTATATAGACATTTTCTATGATTGCAAAACAAATAGAACTTCAATATACGTTATACTTATGAAAAGTTACTCAATTTTAAATTTTGACCATGTAATCTCTAGTAATGATGCAACAGTTAATAGATTAACATTTTAGTGTAAGATATAGGTGGGCGTTGTGGTAAAATATTTGAATCTTCCATATAATTTTAATTTTAGTTCGGCGCCGCTGCTTATTATTGGTTATTACTCTTTGTCATAGACGACATCAATCTGCTAACTGATTATCCTAAGTAACAAGTACTGTTATTATTATTATTGGGTACCGACTACCGTGAAATAAGACGAAAGAGGACACATATAATAAATACATTAACAATATTATAATTTTATGTTTTTTAATTATTTTAAACATTTTTAAAGACGTTAGCGTCAGGCGAGTTTTTTTCTTCCCAACAAAATGTTGTTGCACTCAATAAAGTTATAGCACCGAAAATGTCAACTGAATTTTTTTTCTCTAAAAATAGTATTTTTGTTGTATACAACAAAAATATATAATTGTTATAATATAATTGTTGTAAGTATATTGTACACTTAATTAAAGACAATAATTAAATTCAGACAAGTTTTTAGAATCATTAAAACATTATGAAATCGGTTTGCATTACAAAAGAAAACAAGTATATTGTTCGCCTAAAAACGATAATAAAAAATCTTGAACCTTGTGTCATTACTCTTTTATTACCCGATTAGAATATCTCTCATATCAACATTAGCAAATAGCTAATGTATCTCACAGTAAAGTCTTTAACAATTCATTCTTTTTTGGAGAGTTTCAATATTGGTAAATATAAACTTTAAGTGTGTATTAGGTAAAATGAACAATACATTTCTTTTGTTTTTATCGCTTTATAGGACTAAACATTTTCTATACGAGTTTTGACATATTTGTAGTTATAAATAAAGAATAAACTTGTTTCAAAATGCCTTCAAAAATTGCAAGGTTAATACATAAAGAAGTGTTCAATGGTTTTCATTAGCTCACTGATAAACTTTTTTTAGCTTTATCCTAATAAATAATCGAGTAGAGTAGCTTGTTAAGTGAAAACTGAAGTGTAAAGTAAAAGTTTGAAAACTGTTTTGGGATGTAATTAATTTTGAAATATATGTCTACTCGTTAGAACTGTTTAACTTTTTAAATTTTTAAATTAGAGGTATAAGGGTTTGTAAGGAATAAATCATAACATTGAAGTCGTTAAATACATCACATCTTAAGTTAATCATTTTGGAATCCATAAAATTTGTCATACCATAGTCTTATATGGTAACAAAAACAGGGTAAAAAAAAATAAACAAGCCAATATCTTTTTAGAACTTAAATAGCATAAACCAAAATAAACAATATAATAAAAGATTATACATTAAAAAAAACACATTTTTTTCGTCGGTACCAGTCCCTTAAATACAAGTTAAGATAACAAATACTCTCAAGATTGTTGACCAAGACCATAATGCGACTTTTTCTAAGTATGCTATAACCTAAATCAACAAACAAAAGTGTTCACTTCACCCTACCTACTGTGTATACGTTGTATTAGGGACAGGTTTTTTAAATACTTTTAGTACATTTCACGATTAATCCCTGTACACCATCTTTAGCTATGTCTTGCATTGCTTGTGATCATGCGGCAAGCCGAATTCATCACGCCTACACACTATAGTAAATACCCCATCCCAATTGTGTCGGTGTAGTTTTCTTGGCAAGGTCGTTTGCAATCACTTTCTCCCGCCCCGATGTCCCTCCCGAAATCTTCGTATAAATAAGATTTGCCCACTGACTGTCGTTTTATATTCATTGACTGCTACCGCAATGATGTCTAGACCGAATGCCGTTGTTGGATTTCTAATAGTACAATAAGAGTGTTACAAGACTTGGTGTGTTATATATTTTGGTTTTCCGTCCGGGACGCAGTGCGATATTTGATTTTTACGCTTAAATAAATAATTTCATTTTGATTTTTTACTGTGTTTTTGCAAATAAGAAACATTACGGAATAACTGACACAATAACTGAAGTCCATGAAAAGCAAGCTACTTAAGGATTTTTAACACAACGAGGAATAAACATTACAGAATCACTAAGTAAGTAGAATTTATTTTGAAAAACTGCACCGAAAATGTACTTTTAATTCCATTATTATCGCGTGCAAAATAAAACTATTAAGTTCATTAACAGTTGCATTAAATAAATACGTATAATTATAAAGTAAAATCTTTTACTTATCTGTACGTCATGTTAACACGATAATAAAATGGAGTTTCCACGTATTTACACATTTTTAATAAATTAAAAGAAATAATTACAGTACTATATTATTAAGGTTTATGCAAACATAAATATTCAAATAACTTTATTCGGTTTGAACTTTTATCTTGTACGGTGTGCAGTAATAATAATCCTGGGGTAGGATGGCAAAAGTTAATAGGTCACTTTTGGTGAAGGTATGTTCTTCTCTGCCTCTCTGGACATATTATATTTCAACCAAAAATTTAATTTTTGGTTTAGTTTTAAATTGCTGATATTCCCAAGGTTAAAAAAATTATTGAATATTAATATCAATGAGCTAAAATTTTCTCGGAAGTTGGAAAAAGTGATAAATCTTGTGCCATCTTACCACATAGTTAATGTATTGTAACCAATCAATAATAATAAAAAAAAAATTCAAATATACATATTTGTTTGTTTTTTTCACTAAAGAGTTATGTTGGATGTGCTGTACATAAAGTGTACAATATACGAAGATTAAAATAAAAAAAATAGTCTATTATTTTTAAAACGTTTTTTTCTCCATTATTCTCCGTTACTTTTAATTATCATTGTGATTTACATATTTTAAAAATAATTGTTTAGAAATTGCATTCAGATATTGCCCGAGTAAAGATACTGATGTATACTTATTCGTAAGCTTGTCAAAAAAGTTAAGTTTGAATTTGAGGTCCATCCGAAAATTCTTTTCACGAAACCTGACAACAATCGTACTGTTTGTATCCATCCCGCTATGGTAGTCTGGAAATTCATTATTATTATTTTTTTATTTATGCGAGAAGGGAAAGGTGGAAAACTCTTCAAGTGAAATTTGATTACGTAACAACAATAAGGCGCTGTAAATTTCATTTGTACGACTCAATTTGAACAATAGAAAAAACACATTGTAGGTTTTCAATTAAGCCTTTTAATTTCATTTTTTTTTTATAAATAAGTCAAATTAATGCACTCAAATGTCTAGTTAAAAATACTAATGCTTTATTATTATTTATTCAATGATTTCATCTAAAAAGGGTTTCGTAATTATTTGAAATACATTAATATATACAACTGAGCCACTACTTTTAAAAATTACAAACGTATATATACTTATAACGTATATATACGTATATATATATATATATATATATATATATACTTGCATTTAGTTGTACCATTAATTTTTAGTATTTTTAAATTACATTTAAGTTTTGACGATTTCATAAGTAATGTATCGAGAGCGGATCATCGGGTAACACGTTAGTACCGAACGATAGGTAATCCTCCGATTATATAACCGCACAGTTTCTATCTGTATATTTCATTGACAATTGGTATGGTTTTTATTGTATTTTTAAACAACCGATTCTGAATTTTCACATTGACGGATTGCGGCATTATTACGTAAAAATTCCTCACATTTGTTATCTTTCAAAATTGTCAGGTTTAAATGAAGAGTACAAGCAAAAAATAAATCCATTTTTGAATACTAAATATTTCGCCTATAATATGTTACTACCTTAAAATATTGTTTACATATTAAAAATAAGAAGTTATTTAGAGATTAAGATAAATTTAATACCATTATATTTTTAATGGAATTAAAACTATTGGCTTTAACTATTTTTACGGGAAATTATAAGAAACTAACTTGATGATTTTTCCCCTTTGATATCTTTTAGATGAAATTTCATAGTAAAGTAAAACCGATAGCTTTCCTACAAGAGGTATACGTAATATTAGATATATTTCAAATATATTCATAATATTTCAATTATTTAAAATATGTAGTTAGAAAAAATAGTTAACCCTTTTATGAATAAGTTATTGCAAAACTTTACAATAGCAAAATTTTCTTTTTCATTAAAATGATAAAAAGTAAAAAAAAATTGGTCAAAATTGAATTCAATTTCTCATATTACACTAATTTTTAACTCAAGTATTTTAATATCATAAAATGATTAACTCCTGCTTAATTCCTTTGTAATGATATATCGTCACATTTTTTATGCAATCTACGATAACGCTATGATCGTTGACCATTATTGTTTATTTTTACAGAGATGAAAATACTATTGTGGTTGACACTGGGTGCCTTCTTCTTGAACTTGACCTCAGCAGTCTTACCGAAGAAACGTGATGGTGAGTACAATATCAACACGACGGCACGGCGCTGACATAATGCGCCAACCAAAATATTATCATAACTAAATAGATTCCCCGTGACTAACTATAATCAAGAGTGTAGTGATTTTTAAAGTCAAATGTCCCGCAGCTTTCAAATATTATACAACGGTACATAACAAGAACACTCTTTACAGTCAATTGAAATTGTTTGCGTTAATTTGTTAGCAAAAACAATTTATAAATACAATAACAATAACAAACAAAAATAATTCTAAACACAAATTCATCATGATTATTGAAGAAGACTGCTGATGTACACTATTTCGCCATTGGTATTAATATAAATTTAACTTGACGTTTTAATCATAAAATATATAGTGATGTGTCATTTTAAGTAAAGCTGATGCTTAGATGTAAAGTCACACATAAAATATAGTTACTTACACTATTATAATATGATATTATGCGTGCGAGAAATGTTGTCCTTGTACAAACAGTTCTAAAAACAAGTAATGTGTTTCACTAAAAAAAGTTAAATGAGGCGTGTTCCTTGAGAAATTATTTTTTCATAAAAATTTTACCTCATAAACGAATAGCAGTTTCATCGTACTACTATGATATTTTTTTCTATCGGCCTGGAAGATGTACATTTTAAACAAATACAAATAAAACGAATTATACTGATTATTTTTATTTATTATGTGCGTTTAAAAAAAGAGCATCCTTAAAATAAAAGACTGTATAGAAAAACAAAATGTCATATTTGTCTCTCTAACTTATTTGTATAATTTAAAGGTTAGATTAAAAACAAAAATATATATTAGATTTTATGTCGAGTTATTTTTCAGTATCTACGTTGTACAATTAAAGACGAGGAAAGTAATAAAACAATTATAGTTACGAATACTTCATACCAATTATCATAATATTATTGCAGTTCACATTTCTGACAACCTTACGGCGTTGGTAAAGTTACAGCCATTAAGAAATTATATTGTTATATGAGCACTAATTATTATTCTGCGTAATGCGTCCGAGTGCCCAGACATAGCTAATTGGCTCATCCGCCGTCTCTTCTATTAACTATATTGCTATTCGCTGTTGCTCAATATTGTGCTGTCGTGTCGAATTTCTGATTATTTTTCGTGTGTTTATCGCACAAAACTACTGCACCAAACAACACTGGTGCGCTTTCGATGAAATAACGTGGGAAGGTGATTTCTTTCGATAGAATATTCGTCTCCGATCACTGTCATTGCATGGCGTGTACGGACCATCAACTGGGTATGCCTATTTCCTAGAGGAACGCGACACGTCAGTAATTGGGCACCTTACAAAATAAACAGCCATAGCAAACCCCGGAACTGGTCTTGATTTAAACGCAGTTTCGTCGGCCTCGCGGGTAATTCAAATTCAATAACCGGAAACCATCGCTGATAGAATCGCCACCGTTACGATTCGTCGCCGAGCTTCGTGCGGTGCTGGCCAAGTGGGCTCGCTCCGGGTCACAGTTATATCACAAGTCTCGGGGAAAAAACCGAAAAAAAGCTATCTTTGCGATACTAATAATTACATAGAAATTTTACACAACATAAACTTGGTAATTACACGTACGCTATAACAAGGAAACAGTTTACTCGTAATTAATATTACGCAGGTGTGTATTTTGCAATTTATATTTTGGGAACATAATAGTATGAACTCGTAGTATTAATAAAAATATAAACTAAAAATTAAAATATCAGCTTATAATTATCGCTTTTATGTTATGTTTTATAGTTATTTCGGTTTATTTTACCCAGATTTACGAATTACGCATTAGAATTTTCTTTGAGTCGAAGTATTAATTATTATACAATTATACTATGTTCTTTAAAAATATTTGCATGCCAAATAAATATTTATTTTGTTTATTTATTTATACGTTATTAGTTGGATTTATATTGGTTAAGGTGTAACAAATAGCGGTTTGTTTAAAATTTAAGTCATTCGATGATTACGTAGTGGTTATTACTTATTTAATTGTAAAGAATTGTTCCTGAAAATGATTATGAGTTTTTATTGCTAGTTATATTAAAATAAAAATCTAAGGGATAGTTTTTTTTTAATCTGCTATTAATTTATTTTTTAAACATTTTAGATAAACTCTAAACTACTACAACTAAATTGATACAATTTTACACCATTTACAAAATAACAAAACTAAAAATCTTGTTTTTTTGTATGACAGTAGTAAACTTACTAACAAAAATGTCTATCAAATTGAAATTAACTTTCATAAAGTTGTTAAACCTTTATTGAACGTTAACAATATAAATGTTTGTTTTTTCCGAAGAATAGGTACTATATACTCTCTATATAAAGAGGCGACACATTCTTATGACTAAGGATTTTTACGACGTTATCTGTCGGCTATCCGAAGTTTTTATACACTTGGCGTCTTATTAAGCTAGGGTTTACTACTTTTAATTATAGCGTGTACAAGATTTATTGTGTGTAGCCATGAAATATTTGCGCGTTCTTTATGAAAAATGTAATTTATTGCCTTAACAATATATTATAGAAAAATATAATGATACTTCTATTAACGAATTGGAATCACATATTTGCATTAGTACCTAATAAACTATTATAATATTATAAATAAATTCAAATTAGATACCAAACAGTACAATCTCTCTATTAAATATATTTATTTTGACTACATACACTTTTTGATTGGTTCAATTTTGAAACTTGGGTCTTTATTTGCTCGAGTGAATGCATTATTTATTAAAATGTTTAAACTGTTTATTTTGACATTTATATAGTTTTATTGATATACATGCCGATTAATTTGTTTTAATCATACTAACAAACTTATATGTTTTCAGCCGCTTTATTTGGTAATATTCAATCTTTGCAAAATCCATTTCAACAGCAACCACTATCTGGATTAACATCAGCATTAGCTGCGATTCCTTCTACAATAGCCGAGTATAGTCAGTCATTAAGTTTTGGAAATTTCTTAACTGATATCAATGATCCGCAATCTCAACAAGGATGGGGTGATTACAGTCAACAAGTACAGCAGTCATTTGGAGTTCCCCAACAAAGTTATGGGGAACAACCACAAACAGCTAGTTCAGGGCAACAGAGGCCTCAAACACAGCCAAGTTTTGGTGTTCCACAACAAAATTATGGAAATCAACAACAATCTCAACCGGTAGGTCAGTCTCAACAAAGTTTTGGACAACCCCAACAGCAAATACAGCCACAACTAAGTTATCTACCTTCACCACAACCACAGCCTCAACAGAATTCGGTTCAGCTTCCTCAGCAAAATTATGGATCATCTTTTCAACCTCAATCTCAACCTCAACCATCATCTCAAAACAGCTATAGCCCACCTCTTCAATTTTTACCGCAACCTCAGCCAAGTTATGGACCTCCAATCCAGCAGCAGCCACAGCCTCAACAACAATCGCAACCACAGCCAAATTATGGACCTCAGATTCAACAACAACCACAGCCACAACAACCACAGCAACCGTTACCCAGTTATGGACCTCCAATCCAACAACAATCCCAACCCCAGGCACAACCACAACCACAGCCAAATTATGGATCACCAATTCAACAACCCCTACAGCCTCAGCCACAATCTCAGCCCCAGCCACAACAACCACCACAGCCATCACAACAACCATTGTCCCAGCCACAACAACGACCACTACCTAGTTATGGACCTCCAATCCAACAACAGCCACAATCTCAACAACAACCACAATCAAATTATGGACCTCCGATTCAACAACAACCACAGCCACAGCAACCACAACAACCACAACAACCACAGCAAATATTACCTAGTTATGGACCTCCAATACAACAGCAACCCCAACCTCAGCCACAGCAACCATTACCTAGTTATGGACCTCCAATACAACAGCAGCCTCAATCACAAACACGGCCACAGCAAACACCTCAGGTACAACCTAGTTACGGCCCCCCTCCTCAGCAGCAACCTCAACAACCGCCACAGCAACTAATACCTAATTATGGACCTCCATTACAACAGCAACCACAGCCACAGTCTCGGCCACAACAAACACCTCAGCTACAATCTAGTTATGGTCCTCCACCTCAGCAACAACCACAACAAATACCACAGCAACCGCAACAACCATTACCTAGTTATGGACCCCCTACTCAACAACAACCACAAGCACACCAGCACACAACCATTGCCTCAGCCACAACCGCAGTCACAGCCACAGTCTAACTATGGTCCACCATTACAACAAACTACACCAACATCACCTCCAATTTCTTTTGGAATTCCAGTTCAGAGTACAACCCTTAAAAACCCACAGTCAAATTTTTTAAATACATATTCCCCTCCAAGGCCAACTAACACTAATAGTGGATCTCAACCAAATAATCAACCTTCACTTGTGCAATCAATCAGTTTTGGCATACCATCTCAAACATTTACCACACCATCTCAATTTTATGGAGTTTCACAAGGGTCGCAGCAACCACAGGCAACACAGCCACAGCAACCGCCAAGACAACCCGTGTTTTCTTCTAATCCTCCAGTTCAACCCCAACAAAACAATAATAACCAATTTCAAGGTTATTCTTACAATCCACCTTCTGTGACACAGTCACCGAGACCTCCACAACAGCCAGCACAACAACCGGGTGGTTATATTTATAGTACACCACAAACGCCATTAGTACAACCACCACAAAGTAGACCTCAACAACAGCCTGGAGGAGGAGGAGGAGGAGGTTATTCCTACAATCAACCACCACAAAATTCCAATAGACCCTCGCCGTCTCCATCACCTCAACCTACATTGGCAACACAACCACAAATTCCAATAAATAACTTAGGGTCATCTAGACCAACACAAACACAAACTTCTAGACCACAAAATAATTACATTTATTCAGGAGTACCAACAACACCTAGGCCACAAGTACAACAGCCACCACAACAAGGATACAACTATAGTCCACCTCAAAATCAGTTGTCACCTTCTCAGCCAAGGCCACAGCAGTCATTGAGTTCTGGTGGATCAGGTTATTCATATCCTAGCCCTTCAATTCCATTTCCAACACCAACAGTAATATCAAACCCTCAACCGACACCATTTTCATATAATTCGCCTGCAGCCACAACAACGTTTACAACGCCATCGCCACTTGGACAAAGCTACTCGCCGGTGGATTCAAGGCCACCACAATCTAATAGGTCGTCAAACTTTGTACCATCGCAATTCAATAACCAGCAATCGCAATCCACAGCTCCGGCTCAACCGTTTAACAACATCTACCGACAATCATTCCCATCTAGTTTTGGAAGTGCCCAGCAAAGCCCATTTCAGCCATCACAATTACAATATGATGCATTTGCAGCACCGCAACCACAGCAACCACAATACGGCTGAACCCAATATTAGTGTGTATACAACATGGTTACGGAAATTCGCGCCATCTAGTCTACCAGTGTAGTCACTAGAGACTGCTACTTACTGAATATTTATCAGCCATATAAATGTCAAATGTATATTAATTATTTTTTTTTTTACATAGGTAGTCTAAGAAAGTCAAAAGCCTATGTTGTGATGTCATACGTTTAATCAACACATCTTACAATTAAAACATTGGCTTTAACATGAAATAATTGTTTTAACATTCTACTTAACTACAAAACATAGACTAGATCATTTCGTTGTAAATACATTTCATTTTTATATTCAGTATTATTATTATATCGTAGTGTAATGTATATTTGTATTATTAATAACAATTATGTCATTTGTAAGTATTACACTAAGTCATCATTTTTTTTTAAGAATATGAATAAAACATTTGAAGATTTTGATTAAAATATATATAAATTTTGACTTTGAATATTATAATATTGTAATTGTAATATCTATATTATTATAATGTTTTGGTTTACATTGATACAACTATTTAGTTTGTAAAAAATTGATATTACTAAATGTAAATATTAATCGGTTTTAAAACTCATAACGAGCATTTTTTCCAATAAAAATTTACAAATAAAACAACAATAAAATAAGTAATAATTTAACATTCCTGGTATCAGTTAGTTTTAAAACCGACCGATTTACATGATATGTAAGATAATACTAAACATTATAATGGATTATAAAATGGTATAATTTTAAAGAAAAATTATTCAGCTGAATTCAGAATTTAACAATCTAACTAAAAGTCAGTCATATAATATGGCATTCTTATAATGATATGCACTTGTTAACATAATATTTTTAGGTATTGTAATGATATGTATCGTTAGTAATAGTTCACAAAAAAATTTCGAATAACAACAATATGACGTCTGTATTTCAAATATTACGTTTAAAAATACTCGTTAAAGCCCATAAAATCTCTGATTAAATATTTAAACTTCTTTTTAAAAGCTCAATAATCACATTAACAACTTTTTTACGAAACATTATTTATGTAGCTAAAAAGATTAACTCAATAAATATTATTAGAATAGTGTATTATATAGTTTTATATTTTATTAAATTTAAATGCCGATTTACTTAATAGTACTCCTAAAAATCATCACGATTAGCAATTTTTAATTTGTTAATCTAAAACGTGTATACTATATTCGTAATTTTTTTATATATAGTTTTTGGTTATTAATAAATATTTTATGATGTATTATAAATAATAATAATAATAATCAATATTATTAACATTATTATTCAGGTTTTGGAAGAATCAACATGGATAGCATTAACAATTTCAAACGTGTGACAGATACAATGTTCTGCTAATACTGAACAGCATTTTGGTTCTAACTAGTGAAACACATTATGTGTGTCATTCCCTTAATATTTATTAAAATATATGGAGGGAGTATTGTAAAGCTTAGAATAATAGTTTTGTATAATATGTGTGATATGTATCCGAAATTGAGGGGGTTGAATTTCAATTTTCTATCATTTGGAGGCATTGAGATCTGACCAATCTAAAATCCGGTAGTCTGATCATATCCTGGTCTGTAAACCTTGCCGACGACACTAGCTTTCCTTTGCTGCTGCACTGGTCCTTGAGGTTCGTCGTCATTTATGTCCAGAGCAGGATTTATTCTACCATTTCGTTCGTCTTTACCTACTAAACCAGTTGTTACGGTAGTACCGTATTGTGCACCCATCGGACCTGTCAACAAAAAATATGACAGTAAGTTATAACAATGCTTGGGAATTTCAAATTAAAAAAATGATTAACGGCATCTTACCTGATGTTAGTGTGGTCATTTGTTCTCCTTCGTGAGGCTCTTCAACACGGATAGCATCTTCGGGTATATTGACCACACAGTGGAACCAATCGTATTGGGGTGCTAGTATTCCATTGAGGAATAAATATCTGAAAAAAATTTAACAAATATAGTATAAGAGTCGATTTATTTTTTAAATTAATATCGTTCAAGAAAAACAGAAATTCAAAAATTTACTATTTGAAAAAAAAAGGATTTATCACGACGTGTTTTTATATTTGAATATAAAACCAAAAAAAAAAAAGAGAGGTCCTAATGATTCCAAATATTATGATGAGTGCCAATTTTTTATTAATGGAAATAAACACAAGTGCATTCAAGTGTTATACTTTGTTAATTACTAGTAATTTCTAGTAATGTAACCTATTGCTTTATTATTATGTATTAAATAATACATTTATTTATTTTATTTGTAGCCGTATACGTGTAAGCCAATAGTAAACATTAGTCACAATTATTGAAAAACAAGGCAACTCTTAATAATCGCTACTCTGGGGCTCATTTAATTAATATGGTCTTTTAAAACTACACAACATTTTCTAATAGCTTAGACATATTTAAGGTCAACATTTGTTTTACTTACTTGGTTAACCATGAGACAAACACCAATGTCATCAGGGAACAAAGCATAGCCGTGGTTCTGAAAGGGAAAAGTTGCTTTTCGCCGTCCCATCCGGGGAAATGAATCAAAGCTGGTAGACCGATGAGCGGTTCGCCGCCAGCGATACGGATATAGAATGCAATTATATATGCGGAAAGCGATCCGTATGTATTACAATGCGGTTTAAAGTGGACTACCATCACCAACTGCGGGAACAGGATAACATAAACGAGGTCCGAACACATAGACCATAGGCCGTAAATGGACGGGATAGTCAATGCCATGGTTGTCGCTGAAAAGGCTACCACGACAATGGCCATTCGCATAACCCAAACGATTTCCATTTCAGATGCCTGCAATTTAATGTGACTTCGTTAGGTACAGTAACAGCTGTTTTAATTAATGCTCTCTGTCGAATTAGTTATAAATTTAACGAACTTACGCTTTGCCGTAGCAACATGCGGTAAATATTCCGTGCAAACATAGAACTAGCAGACAGTACGCTAGAATCAGCCGAAGACATGATAGCTGCAGATATTGCACCTAATCCGAAGAACGCCACCCAATCCGGTGTTAAATACTGTAAAACCATAGGTAACACCATGCTCGTTTCTTTAGGGGTCATAGGCATAGGTCCATTGTACTGAGTCTCGTTCCATGCTGTCAATTTTCGGTGTAAGAAATTATTCACATATTAAAAATGAATATAGTAAGTTTAAACAGTCATCAAAAAAATTAGCCAGCAGGCTAAAGCATGTTATATGTTTTATAATTTTAGCCGTTAGGCTTTAAGTAGACTAACCTTTTTATATAATATTGTTACTAACCTGTAGCTCTGGCAACCATGCCTATGATAACAGGAGGAATGGCCATGATAAAGCAACCAAAAGCGGCGACGTAGGAAAGGATTTGTGCTTGAGACGCTGATTTACTAGACAACACCCGTTGAAAGTAAACCTGCCAAGGAATGCCACCAAAAACTAATAGTAGAGCATAGTCCACGTAGCTAAAGAAGTCTTTAGCTTGTATTTCGCCGATCAAGTCTAGTCCTGGGGTGTTGAAATCTACTTTTTTGTTGGTCAACGCGAACGGCACGCTTAGCCACTGAAATTGTTTGAAATAATTTTAACGGTTTTATTATTATTTTTATAAGAAAATAAAATTAACAAACCAATCCAATGAAAATGGCGAATAATTGAATAACATCAGTGTAAGCAACGCTGGCCAATCCTCCGAATATCGTATAGAACACAGCAATGCAACAGCTAAGAATCACACTGGTACTTTGAGGCAAATCGATGATGACACTCAACGTAGCGCCTACAAACAGTTGTATCATATTATAATTTATGTGCAAATTTTGACATAAGATAAAATTTCACCTAAAGCTGATAATATTCCGGCTGACCAAAAAACTTCACCACACAACGCTGGTAAAAACAACAATCCACCCATTCGCTCACCGAAGCAATCTTGAAGAGGATCCAACATGGTTACGTAACCCTGCCTACGCATCGGATCAGCGAAAAATATTCCACCTAGGTTCAACAAGATACAAATATTACTACAAATAAATTAATTTAAGTAATATTATCGTTTATTACATGTGTACGAATAATAAACTAAATTAAACAAATGTTTACTCATAAAAATTATTTAACTTAGTCTAAGAAACAATAAACTGAAAGAAGACATTATAGCAGAGAAATGTAAATAATAATAATAGGTATATTATTATTAAAATAACTATTAAGAAGTTAAAAATATTGTTAATATTGTTTTATATACTATGAATCTAATAACTACAATTATTGATTGTTTTACTGACCGAAAACCAGACTAAGGGCATATCCAAATGGAGCTTGACACCAGAGTAGTCCTGACGTGTAAATTGCCTCAGCCGTCCCGTTTATATATCCTCCGCCCACCCAAGTGGCTAATGCGTGATAACAAATGTATAATAATTTTATTGTATTAGATATTTTAATTTTCTACTGCACACTTCATGTGTTAAGCGTGTGATCATCTTCTCAGTGATCTTACCTGTCATGGTAAATATACCGACGAATAGCCCGATGTTTCTTCCCGCCAACATGACTTCTGCCTCCGAATTTCCAGTGTGTTTTTTCTTGCCAGCCCATAACCCGACCATGAGAATAAGACAATAAAAGAAAACAATGGATATCACCCCTACGACGTTCATCGTCTGTACAAAAAAGACAACAGGTCAACGTCATTGACAACGAATGTGAAAGCTATAATTATTAACTATAGAAAATCGAACTTAATCATGAGTATTTGTAATCAAAGCTCAATATTAAATTTATGAATTTGCATTATATTTAATTGCATCTATATTTCCTCCATTTTTTACTATTAAAAAATAATTAAAATAAATATAATTAAAAAATTATAGTACAATAGTTTTGTTATTACTTTTTTTAATTTAGAATACTTTGTCATTGTTCGATTTCGTTGTTAAATATTTTTTAGTAGTCTCCAAGTCATTATTTACATTGTTAACCTATTTGCTAATTGTACATTTTTCTTTATGCACAGATTGTGAATATTATTTAAAATAAAAAAATAAAAAGTATTCTTGTTGAATGTACACTCATTACTCACGTATGATTTGTGTAGTCTGCTTCTTATTTGGATATGTATTTATTTTGTTATAATCTGTGTAAAAATCCTTTTAACTTTCGGATTTCACACGGTATATATTATGCCAATAAAATAGTTTATTGCTTTTGAAAATTATATTTGAGACGGATATAATTAAAACATGTGTATAACAATATTTAAACGAATATACATATATATATATAAATGTGGATATATGATATGTGTATAGAAACAGTTTTGTAGGTAACTTTTTAAATCGCAAGACTTGACTCGTAGTTAAAAACACAATAGTATCAATTTTCTTTAGTGTCCTGGCTCAAACACGTTGGTTTAGGACTGAAACGGACAACAATCGCCCCAACGCAACGACGTTTTCTGCGAAGGACTATTGCGTGTTTTGAACCCCGGGCTGCACATCAGTCTGAGTGTACGGTTCTATCTTGAACAGGAACATTTAAAATGAATACGAATGCCCTGGAAAAATTGAATAAAACTATCAAAGTACATTCAATTAGAACATTTTTGTTAAAAAATGTCGGGATTTTTTTAACAAATTGTGTCTTAAAACCAGCTTGTCAATCTCTTTTCAGTGGCAGAAGTTGTATTCACAATGATATGTAAATATACCTACATTGTCATTATTTTAAATACGGACTTGTTGAAAAATATTTAGAAGTCACTAGAGGGCGTTTTATAAACGTAACAATGATATTTTTAATCATTGATTTTCATCAAACATCTCACAAACGATTTATAAGTACTTTTGGAAAACTTATCTATTCTAATTTTGTGAAATACATTTGGTATTACCCAATTTATGTAGATTTGTATTTTATTTGGCTTGTAACTAGAATAGTTTTAGTTTAATGGTGGCGCAGTTTAGTCTTCAGTTAATACTTTAATTATCTAATAGTATGGTCTTATTGTAAAGTATAATTTATGAAATATAAGTCATTATAATTTTATTAATATAAAAAAATATAGTAACTGTAGGTCGTATAATCCTATTTTATCATATTCAGCATAAAAAAATAAACAAGGGAGTATCGTAATACCTAATTAAATAGATACTTGAAAATTAATTGTGTAGTCCTTAAGTAAAATATTTTTTTTGCTTCTAATAATAATGGCTTTATTCATTTTTTTTACAGTCTATACAAAAAAATGCATTATAAGTATAAAAAAACTCAAATTAATATTGTTGGACAAAAATGTAAGGCAATTATTTTCAAAATTTCCGATTCACTCAGCCATGTCATCAAGTTTTGAAGATTTAACAATTCAACAATTTTCAAAAATAGTTTTTTAATACAATATAAAACTATGGTTTAACACAATACTAAATAGATAGTAATGCACTTTATCTAACAAAATTAATTTTCAAACAAATTGAATTACAAAATATTATGTACAACCCGTTTTATTAATTACATTCAAATTCTATTTAGAGCTTATTTAAATTAAAACCCAATGAGTAACATTATAATTTATACATTTGCGTTTTTCGAAATGATTAACAGCACAGTTGTGGCGAATTTTAAAACAAAACAAGGTTAAAAATATCGTCAAAACGTAATCAATAAACAGAAAACAATAAACGGCGATATTATAAATATATCAAGCAACTAAACGTATGAGAAAACATTATACGTGTTTGATTTATATATAGATATACATTTTACAAAAATAAAACAAAAAACCACTTTAACGAAAAATGTTCTAAAAATATGTTTTACTATGGTATCACAGTGTTCTTGTTGGAGTAATATAAAAAATGTATCTATTGAAGGTATAGCGTCAAAACAGAAAAAGAGTAACGCTTTCATTTTGTAATAATGTATAGCACTATTTTATTCTTATAGTTAAACCCTAAACAAAACTCGATTATGCTAATTGCCTAAGCGATTACAGCCAAATTGTAATGTTCATACTGTATAATTTGTTTTCATAAAAGTTCACGACGTCACTAACTTATGTTTTGTGAATATTTAAATCAATAATTATGTGGGAACTACAATTTATTATACCTAATAATAAACCTGTATGTTTTTTTTTGTTCGCATTACAACGTGTGCTATATAGGAATATTTTTCTATACAAAACATAAATATTAATAGCTCTATGGGGTGTAGTATGTTTTTAGTTTGCTTATGAATAATGTAAGCCAACTTTAACAAATTTACTTTTCTAATAGTATTTATTTACTCTGACGTCAATATAGTATAATACAATACATAAGGTACACTTTTATTAAAACACTTACTAAAAATAGTTATCATTTTGCTATTTAAACATAAAAACACTAAAGGCAAACACATATTTTAAAAGAAAATTAAAATCACAAACGCTCTTTGAGATATCTTAAAGGGTTTATTCAATGAACTTTTCTGATAAATTTATGAATTATATTTGAGGACCTAAGTAGAACAACACCTAAAGAATAACCCCAAAATGCTATTACATATAATAACACATTTTTAGTGTTTCAACTAGACTTAGTCTGTTATTTATTTAAATTAATTATTATATATTATGATTAATTTTTCAGTTTACCTATCATTATTTCAAAAATTGAAACTGAACATTTTTAAGTTACCTAATTATTGTAATTTAAGTTAAACACTTAAATAGTTAATAAGGTCATGATTTAGATGATATTTGACTACAAAAAAAAGAATCTCTGGAGTTAGCCACTCTTACCATGCAAAGTGCTTGGTACTTTAATTTTATAATGGTTCTTAACAAGGTCGCCCGCTGGGGAAAATTCAGAGAGGGGACCACCGATGACTGTATTCGATTTTGCGAATTAGGGAGATTAGATATATTTATTAACTTCTAGAGAAGCTAGAGGGGAGCTGTCCCCCTACTCTTCCCTGTGGGTGCCCTCGGTTCTTAATTAGGTATATTCTAATTGATATTATTAAACCTACGTTGTTACGGCGCCATTTTTTTAATTCGACATTTACAAATACATGTTTTTGGCAATATCATTCTTATAGTATATTATTTTTGACGATTTTAACCACAAGTCATTAAATATATATGAATACATATATATTTAATATATATATATATATATATATATATATATATATATATATATATATATATATATATATATATATTCATGCATAATGCATGAATACTTAGATATTAAAAAATAAAAATGTGTAAAAAAAGGATATTGGTAATACAAAGCCTCCGAAAATTGTCATGTTGTAACCGTGTTATTGTACAAAATTAATGGTATATATTTAATTATTTTAAAGTTTTGAGTTGTAAGAAGAGATATAAGGTGTTTGTAGTTGTAGCATCGTATTATTCACATTTTAAAACACCCTATTTTTAACTTAATAATATTTAATTTTACTAAAATAGTAATAAATAAAATTAATTTAATAATAATAATTATATTCTTCTACTTGAGCGTAGCATTTATAGTAACAACTGTTATTTCTTTTTTAATATTGCAATATATTTTCATCTCGCTAGCCATTAAACGAAAGCTCCAGATATTCTTGAATCATACTTTATAGTGATACATGTACATTGCACACTTTAAATAATAAATGTTAATTGGGTTTTATTCGGCTGAATCTCATTTATACGATTTGTAAGACCTATTTTTAAGTAAGTTAATACGTCGAAAATATTATATTGCCTGGGTAAAAAGAAGAAAGTATTAAACTGAATTAAATAATGAATTCAATTGAACTTACTATTGCCTAGGTTTTATAAAAGAATATGTTTTTGTTTAAGAAGCCTTGTTCATTAATTAACATTTATTGAAGAGCAATTTTTAGGCAATATCTAAATCACATGCCGATGAGTTGTGCCAGTGTTCGATAAGGAAATCCCTTACATACATTGTGTAGTATTCATATTTATAAAATCAAAATCAAAGATCACATTGTAGATTTCTATCGAAATTAAAAATGAGGGGGTTTTCACCAAAAAAATCTTGGTTGTGCTCATTCAACACTCCGATTTCGAATCAATAACCATTATAATCGAGGCAAAATCGAAATATTTAATGTTATGATCTCCAGATCTACCAGTCCACCCACGCGGTTATCATTATTGCATAAATTAAAAAGTCTAAAAAACTACAATATATTTTATATGTTTAATAAATAGCTTAGCTAGTTCATAATCGTTTGAATATATTTTGTTGATCGGTATAACCTAAAATGGTTTTTTTTTATAGAAATCAATTGCAGAGAAATACTAATAATCTATCTTGACAAAACTAGTCAATTTTAACACATTTAGTGACTGATTGAGAGTAGCCATTAGTGTAATAAAGTAAGTATTTCATTTAAGAAAATAGTATTTATATTTATAAAAATGAAATTAGTTTGACGCGTTGATAATAATATATCGACAACGAATTAAACAAGTCGTCATTGCCACCAACGGCAGCGGCGACCATTCGTTATCGTTTTATGATTGAATCGCTTTCATGCAGTCTGAAACGTCTGCTCATGTAAGACCTATATTCTATTAATTATGACACAGTTTGTTTCAAATTCATTCAGCGTGTAGTTATTCTTGTGTACAAACCAATTTAAGAATCCAAATTGTACATAAATTCTATCGTCAACCGGAATAACGCACATTCACTATTTTCAGTACATCTTCTTTTGAAGTACTTATTTAAATAAAATATTGTTAATAAACAACAAAATATGTTATTAACAGTTAACTGTTTTGTCTTGTCATGTTATATAACTGTTTTACCTCGTATAGCGTAAAGAATGGACCAAATGGCGCGAAGTGCAAAATCGTTATCCTCATTGAACGCGTCAAAAACGATCCGATTTTTGTCAAATTCGTGTTATCCATCCTCTTTAACAGACAATCTTACCCATGCCATTTACCAGCTTAGCTAAGTCGGTAGAATGTGTAGTATTAAAATTAGAAATTATTTATCTATAGAGGTTGCCACATATAATGCGGGTTAAGAGGACGCTACCCAGTGAAGTATAGGCGATTTCGTCCAATCTTATTTTAGAACTTAAACTATGGTGTATACATAATTAATTAATGAGGTTACTCTATTGGTTATTACTTTTTTTGTCAGACTCACAGTAATTTCTAAAGAAAATATTACAATTTTTTCCCCATCAAAAGATATTTGCAAGAACCAAAGAATCTTGTAATTATTCTAAAATCGCCAAATTTTCAGAATAAATAGAGGTTAACTTTAACTGTATTTAAGCATTTTTAAATGTTTGATAATTTAAACCACAAATTTTAAATAATTGATTAAAAAACGTGAACTTTAAAAATTCTTCATTAAATCAATTTATTTATCTCATGAGTTGAGTAGGAAGGAATTAAGTATCGACCGAGTTCTCCAAAAGTTAGTGTTATTCTATTTGATCCACAAAAGTTCGATTGTTAACACTTAAGGTAGTGCCAATTCGCATGACATACAATCTATCTCTGTTGTATGACAACTAAATTTTTCTTATAGAAACCTATTTAATTTCGATAGGTACCTACCGTATTTTACTCAGTCGATAACTTAAGCACGTAGGAGGCGTGAGCCCGAGACGACATGATTCCCACAAAACTATATTATTAATATTATTATTATATTGGCCAATATCGACTGTTGATGACTAATATAATGGTGGTGGTGGTGCAAGAGTATGTGTTTTTAACGCGCGGACGTCATGTACGTGTAGGTATAATATTTAAAAAACAAATTATAGGTACGCAATACTTGTACTCACCCTTAATGACGTGCTGAGGGCACAAATAGGAAACCGTTCGTGTTGCGGGTTCTGGCCGTGACGTGTGTTACTGTGAAGCTGCCATGCTCGCCAGTGGTGACTAATATGCCGTCGAGCAGCAGGGCAGACTGGTACGACAACGGCTGCTGTCCCACCGAGCTCTTCATATTGATCGCACGGTCAGGGTCCGAGTGTATGTAAGGGCCTGCGCGCGCGCGCGCTGCCGCCGTCGCCGTGTCCTCGTATTAGTCGGAGGCGATCAGGTACGCGTGCCTGTCGCGTGGGGTTAGGCAGTCCGGAGGGGCGGGTATCATATCCACTTTTTCCACCAGACCGGCTCACTAACACCACCCCTTCGCGGCGTTTATAGCCCGTTCGCCACCCATCGTCGACCTAGTGCGGTGCAGGCGTTGGCGGATATATACGTCACGGGCGAGAACCCACTCCTCCGCGCCAAAAACAATTTTGGCGAATCCAAACAACTTACACGGCGGCCGCGGCCGATCCGCTATTGTGCCATCAACGTCGCAACGCGTTTCTAGGCGTTCTAAGTACTGTGTGTGTGTTGAACAGCGACGGAACGCACCTTGTCAGGACTGTCCCCCTGGGGATAGTCGATTAGAAACGTGTAAGGCGCGACGTCCAAGCAAAGAGTATTGGAATAGCCAATTAAACGCTGAAGTGTTGTCCGTAGAGCACAATAATAATAGGGAGAGACGTTGATATAGATCAGTGATTAATGTATACACAACTAACAACCTTGATCTCCCGACGTAGTATTTTATCATCAAAACATCGTAAAACGAATAACATTATAACTATAATTTGTTAGTCGGATTTCCTTTAACCGCTTTCCACCCTCCGATTACAATACATAGAGGTAAAAAATAGTAGTAACAATAAAAAAAATTATAAATGTAATAAGAACCCCGAAAAAACATAATATAAAAATCGTTATATTATAACGATTTTTAAAACAACTAATTTTTTCCTGTAGAGATAAAAGTAGGTAAAAATTGTTTCACAACCATGGTATTTTTTTATCTTTGTTCGTATTTAATTATGTTATAATTATTATAACATACAATATACATATATATGCTCATCGTGTAGTGACCCTAAATTCACGGTGAAGTTCCACACCATTCATTAATTTCCTTTATTTGTTTTTATGTTTCTATTATTTACTTTTTATTTTACACAATTTTAAAAACACTGTTAATTTGGCTTTTAGACACCGATGAACTTAAAAAAAAACTCTCTGGAAAATGGAAAACAAAAGCTCTTTTTGGTAACTTATACTTCAAGACATGAAGTAACCAGCTCAGCAACTGGACGTATTATCTTAAAATCCGTTTGTTAAAATAATATTGTTCTAAAGTGTTTGAAATAGTTTCAAAACTCATTTTTGTATTTTTGATGAGCTCGATATTTAAGTTATCACGCTCCACTTCAAGTATCCAGCTAAAACTTGTACGAAGAAGATAAGCATAAAATAAACACGACTTGTCAAAGATTAGGGTAGTATTTTTTTTAAGCTGTTTCTGCCTATAACAATAGGATAGTGGATTTTTGAAACTTTACTTCTTCTATAGAAGTTCTTGAAGTTCGAAAGATACCATGTCTATTTACTAATTCCTCAATTTTAAAGTTTCGTAAAAAACATCCGTAACGCGTAAATAGCTCAACATTTTTTAGTAAATTGTGATAAACATGTATAATTATAATATAATACAATATATTAGTATATTATATTAATTATTAAAGATCAAATAACATTTTTGTTTTACTGAAATAGAAAAAAAGTATTTCATAACAATGTACACAGAACAGAATAATGTCGATCATTAATTTTCACCTACATAGTTTCTGAATGAAATAGTGCCATAATTATGAATTGTGTCGATAATTAAATATAACATGAGCCGTTATGCTAATGAACTAAATAAGAAGTTATGTTAAGGCGTATGATCAAATTAGTTTGGAACTGTGGTTATTCCTGCCTCATTCAATGCTTATTACTCTTTATAATCCCTAAAGGCTTAACAAGCTTGATTTACATATTCGTTCTCTTAACATACACAACGCTGAAAATAACTACGAAACGTGAGGATGCGTATAATTTATTATAATTTTTAATGTGAGAACATGGTTGAATGTAAAATTTTATTTTCTTTTTGAATAAATTACGTTCTTAGATTAATATCATTGTTTTTATTTAAAAGTTATTAGTCATTTTTAGACTTTTCTATACTAATAGGTATCAAATTGATTACATTATTACAAAAAAATATTTAAATAGCAAACAAATATTTAAAAATTGCATATTAACTATAGAAATTATAAAATTAATATTTAATCTTAATTTTGATTTATTACAAACTATAATAGGTACCTAGTGTAATTGCAATTTACTTTTAATTTTATTAATTACTTATTTACATATATAAGAGTGTGTATATCTTATGAAAATATGCATATTAAAAACAATTTGCATGTTTTACCAAAACCCAATTATTTTTTACTTTTAAGGAAAAATATTGTTTCTCCAATGGAATATGTCATTGAAGTACTTTTTATTCTAGGATACCCACTATTTCCTATTGAGCAAACTTAAAGGTTGTTGTTGGTATTTTATTTTACAACGATAGAAATTCAAAACCACCTACGTCACACATGTAGTTGCTATGGTGTGTATATAGTAAAATAAAATGCTACAATGGACTTCAACAAATATAGTGAATTATTTATTACTAATATATACGTAGTATTATCAACTGAAAACCATTAACATTATCACTTTGTAATGAATGGCAAATTAATATTTGTTTAGCCCAATAATTATGTAATTATTATACTCCAACGTTGTTTAGTTTGTGTTACTTATCATAATGTTATGATACATATAATTATATAGTATATTTACAATCTTGTAATTACTGAGCGCAGTAATAATTCAATTAGAATATTAAAATCAATTAATATAGTGTTTTTTTTAAATTATTCTTTAAAAGTCAGTAAGAAGAAATAATACTATATTATGTTAAATTAACATGTTTAAGATTCTCAGAATATATATTTTTTTTTTTTTACGACAATTGTTTTTGGAAGTATCTTTTAATGTAGTGCAGAAGTTGACGAAATTTTATAATTTAGGTAATTTTTACTTCAGGGATCACGTGGAATCAATGTATTTTTGATTATATAATATTATAGTATTTATAATTTGTATATCTATTGTACTAGACAATAGTAATTAGGTACTGTTATATTATATTAGTCCATTTTAGTCGTAAATATTATTATTATTATTATTATTATAACGATTTTTTAATAAATTTCGATATATTTTATAAATAAGGTAAAAATGCTAATAGTGTATACAATACTGAATACTCCGATAAGAATCCAATATTAATATCAGTGATTATATACTTATTATTATACAGGTTTAAAAATTAAAATATTATGCCCTATTTTAATGGACAACAATATTATTTTATAACCTTAAAATCTTAAACGCTGTTAAACCCCCCTAAGAGAGGTCTTATACTAACCTAACCTATATTAAATAGAAATCGGTATTTGTTTCTTTAAAACTTAAATGATTATAATAGTCAGTCATCGACATGTTTTTTAAATAAATTTAAATATTTGTTATGTCATGTTAAGTTTTGTTATTCTTGAAAATATCGTATACCATTTTGTATCATGTGAAATATTATTATTCATAATGTTGTGGAGCACATACAAAATTTGGGGTTCCATTATTGCGCCGACCAGACATTTATTTATTGTTTTTTACTCATAAAATATTCATAATGTTTAAAATACTTACGTTTGTGTTTATCGATCCGTAATTAAGCAGTTTATTATACTGGTATATGCGTGTATCATAATATTATATTAAAATCAAGTACTATAATATTGATTGAGTAGGTAGTGCCCGTCTTTGTGTGTTGACAATAATAATAGATATGATTTTTATTATTCAAGCCCTAAGTTTAAATTATGTAAACTTTCGATGTTTGGCTAGCCTTGTAAAATTGAAATTATTTTGTACGTATAAAAACATTTGAAGAACAAGTCAAACAGTTGGTTCATGCTTGTAGGTTACCGCCTGCTAAGTACTGGACATGATAGTCATAGCTTAAATAATGTTAACACGCTATTCCTAATGGACACATTTCTTATACAAATTTGTATATGTTGATAAACGTCATAATTATTGTTATCACTGTATAAATTATAATTAAAAACTTGGTACTTGGAAAACATACCCAGAGTTTTCCCATATATTTACCAAAATTTAAATTATTCCATGAAGTCAACTAATTTTTAACTTTTAATAGTATTAATTAAATAATTGATGTTAAAATACAATTTTCCACTCCAATAAATATATGTATATACATTCTAAATGATGAGAATATTATAGTATATACTAACCTTTTACCGTGTATTGCTACCAGATAAAATCATCTACATAATTGTCAAATTAAAATCTTTGATTTACAATTCTAAAGCTTTATTAACAATTAAGGGTATCCGATAACAGAATCTTGTTTTATTAGTGAGCAAGTTCGAGAATAATCTATTGGCCAATCGATTTGTGAAGTGGATGAAATTATTTACGTATTATGTATATAGGACACTGTGCATCGTACGTACTGACACTCAATATAACACAATTATTTTTAATAAACGATGTTTATTAATTTGTACCTGTGCTATTCTTAATGTAAGAGCAGCACATACATAGATAATCAAAAGACTCGATGGAAACAGTAGAAATAAAAATTGGGTCAAGGATAATGGCAAATTTAACCTTTAAAAATAAGTAAATTTCTATATATTATGTGTGTGTACATTTTTACTTCTCCTTCGTTTATAAATGTGATAAGTTTTATAATAGTTATCTCACGAGTCACCTATACTTTATTTATGACCAAAATTTATATAGCCACATATTATAAAGTAATTGATTTTTTAAACTCATAAATAAAGAAAAATGGCAACTATAAACTATAATTATAAAAAAAACAATTTTTTTTTTGGAGTATCACTTATTTATTTGATTCACTGTTATTGGTCGAACACTTAACTAAATTTAACTGTAGGCGGTGGGCAGTCGACCCTTAAAAACTTGTATGGATGCTTTGGATCTGGAATGGCTACTGCTCCGTCTAATGTTACTAGTTTACTACATCTGCAAGCATACTCGATTTCTCGTTCTGATAACATTGTAGGTGAATCCGAAGACCGTTTACATGTTCCAGGGCTGAAATATCATTAAAGACATGTTGTATAGTATGTAGTAATAAAATGGTATAGACTATAGTCATTAAACATTAAAATGATACATTTTTAAAGCAAAAATTTGAATTAAAAAAAAAATCGAAGAAGATTAGAAATAATAGTATATATATATATATATATATATTATAATTTGTTTTTAAAATAATAAAACCAGAAGTAAACTGAAAATAGTAGTCATCAAAATATTTTTGTTTGCACAAACTACATACATTCTTTATTACTCTTAATTGAATAAAACTCATTACGAGTAGCACTAGCGCAAGTCTTTATTTAAATACTTGTGTTTTATTTTTGTAATAAAATGACGCAGATCAAAATCACCTTAAATTGGATTTAAATACAAAAATAAATAAATATAAATATAAAAAAGCAATGATATTAAGATTTTTTGGACAAGTACCACTGTTTGGCATGCACTGATATAATATTGCAGAAAATCGAAAAAAATCCGTTGTCTTATTATTTTTTAATTCGTCAATAGTTAGGACTTTTTTGTTTATTAAAAATATTACCCTGACATTTTTATTTTTTTTTCACCCATAAAATAATAATATACATTATAAATGATGTGTATGCAATAAGTATACATTATTAGGTATTTATAAATTATACACAGTCTACATTATTACAATTGAAATATAGCGTGTAATAGATTTGAAATATTTAATCATACATGCTATTTTAATAAATCCTATACCTAATAAGAAAATAATATACAAGAATTTTTTTTCCTTCTAATTATTTGATAGTTTTGTTTTTTAATCACGCAATATGTTATCCCTGAGGGGGTAGGAGCCAGTGGTAGATGCTGGGTCCCACAGACAATTTGACTGCACATACATACATCATGTTACAAACATGTGCGAGGTGAAAAATATAAAGCAATACTCAATGTATATTATAGTAACATGTAATCAATTATTATTTCTTGGGTAACAACACAAGATCATTAATTAATGATGTGTATATATTAATAGTATGTAATGTCGACCAACAGTTTTAGACCGAATTATAATAACGACAAACATTTTTGAAAGATGACAGATAAGGCTATCAATACTACGAGTATATAATTTTTAATAATGCAATAAGTATCATCATTTATTTATTTTATGTCGAGAAAAAGAAATTATATATATTTTTTAATTTTAATGAAATATTTTAACAATAGCGTTTACGTCATACAGTTTACTAAAACAGTATTTTTCGGGACACATAACAAGACTGAATATATGACACACAACCTTGCTAGGTAAATATAATAGTACTTACTTTAAAACTGTATGTTTATGAAAATGCAACGTACCTAAAGGCCACCATACAATACAAGTTCGTATAACAAACAATTTTAAAGGAGGTACTTAAAACGAGTTTTTTTTAGTAGCTTATACTGCAAGACGTGAACATCCTTGTTGAAATATAATACGAAAAGAAAACTACATAGGGTTAAAAATGCCATTAGTACTAAAAACAGTTTAATAAAAAAAAAAAATGAAACGGAAAATAACAGTTTCATTTTTCAGTTATAATATCTACTATGTCTAGGTATCATCCTTGAAGAGAAATGAGAATGTTGAAAAATAATTTGAAGCCGAATAATACTACAATAAATATTTTTACCGTTTATAAATAAATAATAGCTTAGGCATTTGAAAGTTAAACAAATTGCCTACATCAAGTTTTGATATTTCATACTAAATGAAAATGGTCGATAAAAATTAATAATAGATATGAAAGGACAATTTAATAAATAAATAAACATTTATTTAACAAATGTACTTTTCGAGGAAAATGAAAATTGATTTATTACAAGTAAACAATCGACTAATGTATATTATGTTTATATGTTTATCCTTTTTTTAATGGATTATAGTCATAAAATCCTATACCTACTTTTAGACGTTTGGAGCTTAGAACCCTACCTGATCCTGTCTTTATCCGCTATAACGGTATATGCCATCCGAATAGCGTGCGAGGTCCGAGGAATGAGAATAAGACTAAATTGCATGTGGGGTAAACCTAAGGTATGTAATAATATGTAATGTCAACCGACGGCCTTGAACCAATTTATACTAATAAGAAACATATTTTTGAGAGATGACAGATGAAGGATATCAATGATATTGGCTATAATTCAAACATAACAGGCAAATGAACTTGGTCGATAAAAATTAATTGTGGATATACAGGGTAGGTTGCATGCACAACACAAGTGGTATAGTAGCAAATAACCTAGGTTTTTAATGTATAGCTGTTAAATATTGAAAAATAAAGTATGGAAAAACGATAAAAACTTAGTTACTCTGTCAACACTTCTGATGATTTGAAAAGTGGAACAATGCGGTGTTAATAATAAGGCGTTGAGTGAGAAAAATAAAAACCTATTTGTAATTAAAACTACATATTTTATTTTCAATTTTTTTAAAATAATAACATCGAGAGGCAGGCATGTTTTAAAGTCTAAATAGTCATGCAATTCCAATTTCAAGTAGCAAAATTATTATTTTTAGTGTGCTAACACAGCATCATACTAAGTACTAATTTTGAAACAACTATTAATGTTATGTAGGTACATTTTAGTAAAGAGTTTACTCGGTTGGCGAGTTCTATCCAAAAACTGGTCATAGTGTGTCAGGAGTAAAAACTTCCCATTTATCCCTTTAGCGCTATCTGTTGGCAAAATTTCGCTTGAATACTATAAAATCATACTCCACTGAAATGCTTTTACTTTATTAAGTAACGATTATTTGCGTTTCCAAAATACTATAAATTGTAATAATAATGTCTATAGAAGTCTTTATATTTCCTAATTATCGTCTGCCTAGAACAACAGTAAAGTTTTTAAATTTGATTCATTTTTTAGTACAATTAACTCAAGACGAATTCGAATTCAAATCACAACCCTAATATTTATGTTCGTTTATGAGGTTTATTTTCATACAAATAAAGGAAGAAAAAAATCTAAATAGTTTAGGAACGAGTTTCTTATTGAGGACTATAGGTAATAGGTACAGCTATAGGTAAGTTACTAAATGATCTCAAATAGTGAAGCCCGAAACTGGTACTTGATGGTACTTTCTTAATATAAATAAGTGTTTATGTAGGTATGTAACTAAAATGTAAAAGTTACCTTCACAATATTAGATCTGTCATGTGTAAATTATTAACTATACAATTTATATCGAAGCCGTGAATCAATAGCTAATACTCACTAATTTTGAATTGGTTTTCTTGTGGCCAAACTCTGATTTCTCTTACTACTAGAGCAAGGGCAATTTGATTTAAGAGTCATTTTCTTTATTCAATTTTTGTTTTAAAAAATTTGTTTATACTTATTTAAAAGAAATGATTTATGTTTAATAAATAACCAAACAGTTTAATACGAATCACATAGGTACCTATTTAATTAAATTCAGCCAGTGTATAGATTTACTGTGTTCACTAATATACAAAATCAAAAAACATAACTATTTATAATAATAATGTACACATACATATATAATTATTTTGTAAATTACAGTTTTTAACGTTGTACGATTTAAAAAAATTCCTATATGTTAGCAATGCTTAAAATGATTATTTAATTCAGAACAAATTGATTTCCTATTATTCTCTTTAATTAGAGTAGGTATAATGTGATTTTTGCCTTAACTTTCTCTGGATCCCAAACTCTGTCTACTTCTAGCTTAATTCAAAAAGCTTTATGATCAATAATGGTCTACGTTTCATGTGTTTTCTGTACGCTAAACCAATGAAACTTCAATATGTCAGAATGACTTTTTTTGTTTAACTTTATGAAAATGTAGTCTGAGATAATATTATTAATAATAACACAGGATTACAGTACAATGTCACAATGTTAAGATAAGATGATGACATCAAATTGAGGTTTTTTCTAACAAATATCATAAGAAACCAATTCACGTATTGGCAAAACAAGTAGCTGGAAAAAACAGGCCTAAACCACTGCTAAAATTATCATTAATCAATCAGAAATGCAATGAAAGACATTTATATACAATAATTTATGTATCAATAATTCAAGTATGATTTATGAGATAAATTATCAATGATCGTTTTAAGTTACTTAAATTGCAGGTAGTTTAATTTGTACAATTAAAAACACATTAAACTAGTGACTTTTCAATAACATTTGTAATGTTTTCTTTTAAAATGTTTGTTTAAATCTCCATTAGATGCAAAAGCCCAATCACAAATACTACACTTGTAAGGTTTTTCACCAGTGTGTTTTCTTTTGTGCTCAATGAGAACGTGTGATTGATTGAAAGCAAGTCCACATTCACTACAAGTGTATGGCCTTTCTCCTGTATGAACTCGTTTGTGTACAGACAAACTTGACTTGAGAGTAAATGCACTGTCACAAAGATCACATTCAAAAGGACGTTCTCCTGTATGTATTCTAATATGTCTATTTAAGTCTGAAGTTTGAAAAAATTTCTTTGAGCAATAACTGCATTTGACAATATATTCGTCGTTGTGTGATCTGCAATGTATTGTTAAGCCACTAATGTATTTGTAGGTTTTTTCACATAAATTGCATTTGTATGCTCTTTCACTAGAGTGAACAATTTTATGTTTTGCTAAGTCAGCCTTTTTTTTAAAAGACTTGCAGCATATATCACATTTGTGCAAATCATCAATGTGTGTTTGCATATGTCGGTAAATGTATGTATTTAAGAACCATTGTTGACATATACTGCATGTCACATATTTTTTATTAGTATCTTGAACTGATGAATTGTCAGAAGTATTGTTGAAGTAAGTTGTACATTCTTTATTTGAAACAGATGTCTAAAACAAATAAAAATAATATAAATGTGATAAGAGAATAAGCTAGATAAGTTAGAACTTAGTAAAGTTTAATAATTAAATTTATAATAAGTAATGATTTAATATTAGTTCATGGCAGGTGTGGGCCGTATAGACAGTGCTATTAACTATTCCAAACAAAGGTCCCAGAAGTTTTACATTAGGGACCAGAGTAGTTCACTTCCTCTTTAGTTAACATTCAAAATCTTACCTAGTCACAGATTAAAAACACGAGTACCTAATCGCGGAGATAAACTTAGTTACCGACTGGTTATTTTTACTTTGAAGTAGTGGTGTTCAATTTTATGCTGCGACAAAGTGTTTCAATTTTGTTCGTTAATAAGTTAATATTTCTCAAATTTTACTAGGTAGGGTGCTAAAAAGCAGAAAGGAACTCGAAAACGCTTCACAATAATAATATTAACTAAAATACATATATAAATAAAAATAAATAAATCAATAATATTGAATATTAATGAGTACATTATTTTAAATACTTGTATTTTTGAACCTTAAGTCTTATTGACTCATTCGCTTAATAAACTCAAAGGCTCTAGTCCCAAAGTGAGTCTAATAAGCAACGTCTACTGTATTCTACTAAATAGTATAACATTAAATTGGTTTTCAAAATATGTATAGGTATATAATTTTAAAAAAATTATTCAATAATAATTATAATAATTTCCCTTTATCTAAGTTTACATTTTAGGTCATCTTTTTTAAACTGTACTCAAAAGTAAGAACAAATTCGAAACCAGTTACTCTTGTTGTATAATAATTTTTTGGAACTGTTTAAATCTTATAACATTAGATTAATTTTTTTCGGATAATAAGTAGACACTTCTAATTATAAATAATTACTCAGTATTACTTTTAAATGTTAGTTTCTAGGTGCATCTTTTAATCGTTATGGTAGGAAACGCTTAATATAGTAGAATATTTGTTGAAATGTTCTTAAGTCAAATTTTAAGTTAAATAATACTAAATAAATATTTACATTGTTATTATTGTTTTTCTTTTGCTTTTTTGATTGTTCAGCTAATTTTTTCACCCTAAGAAACAAGTACAACATAATTAATACTTGAGAAGTTATGCATTATATACTATTTACAATAAGTTAATTTGTTGTCTCTTTTGCATTATTTAAAGTTTAAAATATATGACAAACTAGTGATTTCTTAAATTTTTGGTCAACAATTTTTTTTTTTGGGGAGGGGGGAATGTAAAACTCACTAATAATTTAATTACTTAATATTAAGGAAACTTAGGTACAAATAATAGAAAAGTTATTTAACTTTTTACTTAAAAATAATTGAATATCTAAAAAATAAATTAAGTTATTCAAAGTTTCTTATTTCTTAGGAATCAATATCAAATAATTGTAAACAAACACTATAATAGAATAAAAACACTTTCTCCTTTTTAGGGGAAATTGTTTTGGAAGTCTGAAATAAGCCAATCGCTTGTATAAGCAACTTTTAAACACAAAAGAAAGTGTACAAAAAAGAGCAAACATTGCTAATAAAAATATTAAATGTGTAAGCTTGAATACGTACAACTGAGATAACATATAATATATAGACTGTATAAACAATATTTATAAATTTAATTTATTTTTTTCATAACTGTTTTATATAATTAATTGTTTTTCATTTACGTTTTTATCAATTTTATACTATTAGCTGTCTTAAATTATCACACTTTGCTAGCATATTTATTGTTTCCATAACTTGATCACCTAAACTTGATACCTAATTAAAATATAAAAGTATTCATAATGGTATGTTGATAAAGTAAAATATTTATAGTTAAATACTCACATGTAATAAGTTGACTCACCAAAACCTGAAAACAATTTTTTTATTACTTATTAATCTTTATATTATAAATGGGAGAAACAACATTATGTTATTAAAAAAACACGACATAACAAAGTTTTTATTTTGCTTTTTAAGATCTTTATATTAGCAAGATGTCTAACACATAAAACTATTATTAACACAAGGACCCACATTGTATCCAACATCTTCAGCTTAACAGGCCTTTAAGGCCCAACGCTGCTATCATAAGATGATGGTTTCAAGACAGATTCACTATCCGGGACGGGTTGTTAGTCTGTCGCCGGAGAGGGGGATGGCGGCTCCTATTCACTGGACGATTGCTCACCCGGCAAGCGGAGCGCCTGTGACCGAGTGTCAAACCAGCAACACTGCCACCTTTCTTACTCGGACACTCTTCCTCCTACTCACATTGTATTGAATTCAATTAATTTAACAACAGAAAAAACATTCATTTTATAATACTATTAAATATAAAAAGTAAATTATTTTCATAAAATTATGGTATAACAATTTTAAAAAAATAATTCGATACCCATTACTTTCAGTCTTACCATTTTTATTCAATGTATTTCTTTTCTTTTTTGGTGGTAAGTCAATTTTTGTTTTATATTGGGTTTGTAATGTATTTTCTTTAAATTTCAAATCCATATTTTTTTCTTTCTTTTTTTTTAATTTTGACACTGTACTTTCATTCCTTGACATAACATTTAAAAGATGATTGACTTCATTGTCCATTTCATTGCTTTTTTTCTTTTTTGCTTTAGTAATACATGTGTCGATTTCTGTATCACTTATTTCTAACTCTTTAAGTTTTCTTTTTCTTATTTTTTCTATTAATGCTGAAGTACAAAGATTCGTTTTTGAAGAAGTCTGACTATGACTATCATAATTGATTTTCTGCTTCTTTGTGCTACTTTTAAAAACATCAGGTTGGGAAGACATTTTGTACATAGAGTATTTTTTCCTTTATTGTAGGAATAATATTCTATATTAATGATTATTTTCTATGCTATGGCAAACAGCAAAAATATAACATTCTTAAAGTTTTATATAACAAATAAATAGCGGTATCCTTGTACCACTAAAAATATTCAATAAACTTGCAGCAATCTAAAATGGAGTTTTCATTGCCTGCTCAAAAAAATCTTTCTAGCACTATTAGATCTTATTTAACTGAGTAAATACTGAAAAAAAAATCATACATAAATATTATAATAACATATTTTAAAAAGTTTATATTTACATTAGTAAAGAACACGTACGAGTACTCGATAGATGGTAACAGTCGCATAATAAATAACAGCATAATATTTTCTACAATATTCAAGCATTTTTAACTTAACTAGTAACTTTATATTTTTAACGTTATTTTTTTTATATAATTATAAATATTATTTTTTTTGTATGTTTTATTAATAATTTATACCTATTATATTATTAATATTATAAATTAATAATTATAATAATATTTAAATTGTTCAATACTAAAAAATAATAATTACAATCAAAAATCATAATCGTTATCACTTACCGTTTTTCAAACGTGATATAAAAAATGTTGTTAAGAGGAAAGAATTATGAATGCAAAAACAGTGCATAAAAAAATGTTTATTGTAAAAACTTTAATATTTATAATTTTTAAATTCGTCAAATATGTCTATAAGTTAGTTCTATAAATTTTAATTTCAAACAAACTTCAACCATAAACAATATTATAAATGGACTTTAAATAATGCCGAAAACTATGGCTAAATAATTTATAATGTATGTTGGATACACTGTATTTGTGATAAGCAAACTGTGTTTCTGCGTTTAGACTTCAGTAAACTCAAAACAGTGATTTTTAACTCTAAAGCGTTTCCTTATCTTACGTTTTTAATTTTTGCTGTTTGTAGTGTTTAAACTCTACTTTTAAGTACTGAAGTTTTCGTTAATATTTATTCAATTTTGCCAAAAAACTATCACTAAGTGACATCAAAAACACTGTCAAGTTATTGCATACAAGTAAACTCAGGTACGAAAATCTGTGTTATATTTTTCATACAGATATACTAAAATATTTAAATATTTACATAGGACTTGTAATGTGTTAAATACATTTATCTCTGCTATTGTGCAAATAAAGTGAAAACTTACAGGTCATAAAGCTATTGTAATAAAAGGTACACGGTGCAATACAGTGATCAGCTGCAGTTAGCCGCTCTGACACAGCATTGCAAATTAGAATATAGAAATTTTTTAGTTAGATCTATATCAGTAAATATTTTTATTTTATGTTTTTCCATTTAAATTCATCAATATTGCCTATAAAAATATTTTTAACAATCATATAAAACAGTATTATCAAGTTTGTTGTTTTTTTAGGAATGCCGAAATATTATTGTGATTATTGTGATACATACCTTACGCATGACTCTCCATCTGTGCGTAAAACTCATTGTCAAGGACGTAAACATAAAGATAATGTAAAGTTTTACTATCAAAAATGGATGGAAGAACAGGCACAGAATTTAATTGACGCTACAACTGCTGCTTACAAAGCTGGCAAAATTGGCATGAAGGGAGTATGCATTCCACCGCCAAACATGGGTCCTGCAGGACCACAAATGTCTATGCCACCAGGATCTATGATGCCTCCTGGTCAAATGCCTATGGGTGCACCTCCAATGATGCCCATGGCACAGATGATGAGGCCTCCAATGGGTCAAATGCCAATGGGAGCTCCTCCAATGATGCCCCCCATTCCAACTACAATGAGGCCACCGCCAATGATGGTTAATGCTCCGCCTGGCAATCAAACTCAACAATAAAAAGTTTTATACTTTAAATTGATTATCCAGGTAGAACTCCCTATGGTCTACTGTACCTACCTTAATTGTAACAAAATGTAACCAAATCTAATAAGACAATTTTACAACAGTAATATAATTAATTAATATCTGTATAAACCTAATATCTATTTTACTTAAGATAAAGTTAATAACAATTATTTGTCTAAATTGACATGCCTTCTTCAACTAATTTTATAATTCATTTTAGTAAAAATATTTTCTAAATATGTATATATTACAATTTTTATTATTACAAAAATGATGTTCCGTTCATTCTATATTCTGTTATTTTTTATTAGTTGAATCCTTTACGTAATGGTCCTTTACGTCTTATTGGTTTAAAGTGCTAGCTATGGTGATTATCACTCATATAAATTATCAATTATAATATAAAAATATTATAAATGTACGCAAGACCCGAAGTTTTTAAAATATTAAACAGAAACTATTGTTAAACCATTACCCTCTCGGGTTTGCATTGAATAAAAAATAACTTAAATGCAATTATTTATAACATCTTAAATAAAATGTTCACAGAAATTTATTTAAATAAAATTTTAGTTTTCTGGAAATGATAAAATATGTTTTTAAAATTTAAAAATTTTTGTTTATTACCAAAATAAACTTTTATAATGCTAACTAGATATTTTCTGTACAAGAAAGTTTCTGGCCTGTATTATTAGGTATTAATGGGGATCATAATTTTTAGTGGTATAACAATTAAATGGAGTATAATTAAACTATCCTAATTTAATTATTTCCAATTAAGCGGTTTCCATTTATTTTTAATTTAAGAAGCTGTTCTAATAAATGATCTGTCTCTCGCTTACGAAGCATAGAACAGCCTTTCAATAGTAGTTTGGCTATGATGGCTGTAAAACAATAATTGGTTCACTTTATTAATGGTAATAACATTCAATATGTCATAAAAACGTTTTTGATAAAAAAAAATTGTTTTTTAAATAAAAAAAATGACAAAATTGCATAACGCCTAAAAATTATTGTTCTACAACCTTAAAAGTCTTGAGATCCAGAAGCATGTTTTTGTTAAACTTTAAATTCATCAGGCTTATTTTAACTAAATTTATTCATATGATCTTGCTTATTTGCAGATGTGACTCGTGAGGTGATATTATTGAAGGTGAATGTTTAACAACATCATTCTACCAAGTTAAAATAAAACGGAATTTTATATGTTACTTTATATAACAATAATATTTTCTGGTAGACTTAATAATTTTAAGGATACTTTTGTTTTTTACCATATGATATCAATGTCAAAAATTAATATTATTCTGTATGCATTTATTTATTCATGTGTACCATTTTTCAATTCTCTCGTATAACTATATTCAGTATTGTATCAAATAGCTTTAGAATGACCTATGATGATTGTTGAAAAAAACATTCTAAAAATGTTTAAACTGCCTTGATTTTATAGTAATAATTTATAACAATTAAAATTGCCCAAACATTAAGATGCTGTATGCATATCGCTTTTTGTTCATGTACAAACCATACAAATTGTACGTATGACATTTCTTTATTTGATAAACTGCTATTATATGATTTTTCTCAAAATAAAATATTTTATTTTAAAGTATTTATTTATATACTAAATTGTTTAGTGTTAATATTATGGTCACAAAACGGTATAGTTTACTTTAATTAAACTTAGTTTTATCACTTTAACCCCTTCATGCATGACTTTTTATTTTTTTCCCAAAAAAATTGTACTGATTCTAAAATATATCAGGATTATGGGAAATATTTTAAAAAAATTATTTGAGTACAACTTCCCCTTAATTCTCCTCAAAGTTTAATTCGTGCCTAATATGCCACAACGCGCACCAAATGTATGTTTGTGCCACTTATGGCCATCATGCATTAAGAAACACAATTTTTGTTTGTGCCATATCTGGAACAATATGCACTCAAAACACTATTACTCACATTTATTTGTGATATATATTTTATAAGAAAATTAAAAAAAAAGATTTGTATAATTATCATTTTTTTTCTTAATAATGTAAGTAACAAATTATAATAACTTTTTATGCATGTTGTCCCATATTGGGCACACAATAAGTTTTTGTTGTATTTCAAAAACTATTATACTTAAAAAACTGTTCTTACTTTTAAAATATTTTCCACAAAATTCCCTACAAGAAAGTAATTTTTTTTTTTTAATTTGGTAGTTCAGTTTTTTGTTATGATTGCATGAAAGAAATAGTTTTTACCCGACGCGGTGATAATATTTTCAGTTGTTTATTGTTCATCTATAATTCACAATTTTAGCGCTAGATGAAGGTACTTTACATCAAAATGGGTCAGTTTTTTGTGCCGAATTCGGCCATCTATGCAGTTATGTCATAAATTCATTTCCAAAGCAACAAATAACAAAAAACTAATTTGTGCCATATACGGCACAACATGCACGAAGGGGTTAAGTCACTTTTAAAAATCTGTCACTTTTAGTTATTAATTTGACAATTAGACATTTATAATTTTTAATTTGTAACAAACATTTTTTTTTTTTTTTTAATATATTAAGCATAATTGCTGATCAATAATAGGAATAAGATATACTGTCTTTATAATATATTATATAGGCCCAATTAAGGTGACCTTTAGGTAAGCCCTAAAGCTTACTTAAGCAGTCCTCGCCAAAAACAGCAACCCTCCACGCAATCAATTAATACAGATTAAAACTGCACAGGTGATGTTATTTTTATTATAGTACATTTTGAGCTAGGATTAGAATTTTTATATTATAAAATAAAGAAATTTAAATCAAGTAAAGAAATTTAGTAAATCCCTGTGCAATAAATAAGTATTGTTATTTATTAATGTAATTGTTATAAAAAGTTCTAAAAAGAAACTTTTTTTTATGTTTAAAATAATTGTAGAATGTCACTTTATGGTCACATTTTTAAAGAGCTCTAAGCACTTCCAACCATATTTTTTTAAATTAAGGCAGATTATATTATTAAATCATTAGAATAATTTTTTTTTTAGTAGAAGATAATAAAAAAAAAATTGTACACTTTTCCGAAAATATAAATAATATTATGTACCATAATAATTTTAATAATATATTTTTCTTTCTTTAAAGTTAAAATAACTAATGCACACTACAAGTATTTAAAGTTTAAATAGGCTTCTTATTTTTCTTATTAAAATATTTTTCATAAATAAAAGACAATGTTTACTAGTGAAGGGATTATTTTGAGTTGACTAATAATAATAGTAATTTAGTTGAATAATTTAAACTTTTATAAGGGATGCAACATTTTACTCTATATCTGTACAAATATTGATCATACTGGTATGGTTATGTGTTTTATAAATGGTTAAATTTGTTTCCCATACCTATAATAAACAAAAAACAATTTTGAATAATCCTTTTAGTAGATAGTAAAAACTGTTTTTTTAGATGAATAGAAAAATATAAATTTTTGCTTGATCACTTTCGACATCTCTATAATTTATATACAGTCTACATAGTACATATTATATTATGTATGTATGTAAAATACTACACTATTATACTAACAATACTACAATTACTTATTTGTATAAAGAAATTGAACTTCAAAAATTGTAATTATTTTTTAACTCCAGATTTGAATTTTGATCAAAATTAATCCGAATATTTACTTAGATATTTGTATACAAAGAACAAATAAAATATAATAATATATGCTTACGTAATATAAAAATAATATCGATAGCTAATATGAATTTTAATAAGAATTTCGTACCTCTGGAATAAGTCCACCACAACAAAAAATTTTTAGTTTTGAGAAAAGCGATTTGAAGTTTTAAACAAAGATATTAACAGAAACTTAACATCTATTTGCAGGTATATCATTATTCGCTAGTGAGATAATATATTTATGTTCTATCTATCATTAACAAAACCAAGTATAAAAGTTTTGACATTAGGGTTGGTGTTTTATTTTTTTATAATGTAGATACAATAATAAATATATTTTATACATTGAGACTAGACGCACGATAAATATAATAGTTTATTCGTATATTAAAAATGCTGCGTTTAGCTTTATACTACAATAATTTAGAATATCTTCTTTTTATCATGAACGTAATTATATAATTATAATATTTTATAAAATAATTACAAAAACGTTTTATTATTATATATAAACAGAAAATTGCGGTCCAATAAGAAAAAAAATAAATAGCAAAACCGCTTAGTCAATTCCGATCATAAGATAGTTTTTAAAATTTACCTTTAACTAAATATATAAATAAATAGCTATTTAACAATGTGAAATAGGTACTTGAATATGATAATAATATTATTGTCTCGATGAGAAAAATAAATTATAAATGTACACTATAATAATATTATAACATGTGACAACCGATGAAACAATAATAATGGTATTCTCCGAGAGGAACATTACAATAATAATATTCACGATGTTGATTTAATATTAAACGACCTTAGATGATATCAAAGCGCTGTTTCTAAAGTGGAGACGACGGTAGGCACGACGGCTGCACAACAATTGTTTTTGTCGGCAAAACCCCTAAGGGTTTGCTTGACGAGTGCAGTGGATTTAGGCACACCCGAGCCGTAGCCGTCCTCATCTTCGCGACAATCTTCCTGTATTGTCGAAGAGAGCACGTTCGACTTGTTCCACGACGCCTGTGCTCTTCCGGCCCTACCGGTCGTTTGTAGCAATCTCGGTTGAGGCGGCGCAGACCTCAGCAACCGACTGCCGCTTTCGACAACGCTAGTTCTGTTCGTCGGCTGTGGTTGTGGCGGTGGCTGTTGCAGCCTAGTGACGGCCGACTGGCCACCGTTTCGACGACCGCCCGACATGTTGGCGTGCAACAGCAACCGCTTGAAGTCGTACCGTGCCGTCGACGGATTGTTGTCTCGACGGTGCACGCGGTCCGACTGCCGCTCTGCGGGCCGCCTGATTTCTGCCGCGACGGGGCCGGGTGGCGATGCCTGCGTCGGGTGCCGTTCCACCGCCGTCGCAGGCACGGGTTGATAAACGCCCAGTAACCGTTTCTTCGACTCGTGTATGGCAGCGTACAAGTCCATCGCGGAACGACCGGACGCCGGACGTACGGTGACCGCGGACGGCGGAGGTGACCGTTTGCTGTTGTTAGTGGACAGGCTAACGGGCGATGGCCGACCGTAACAACCCGCTGGACTCCGTTGGATCGGCGACAGGTTGGCGCTGCTCATGTCGATCCGGTTGGGCGTGCCATGCGCTTTTACGGGCGTCGACGCAGAAACGTTGCTGTTATCCACCTCAGAACTATCATTGTTACGATTGTTATTAATGTTTTTGGTCGGCGTTCCGGTGCAGCTTCCTACAGAAAAAATTATAATTATGATAATATACAACCAAAACGGTTTACGAAACATATATTCATTAAAAGGTTGTTGGTTGGTCAACACAATAAAAATTTGGACATTGACGCTACAATAGAGCTTATGCAAAATATTATGGGTATGAACTATGACCCATAAACATCAATAATATTGATCATGATTGACTGTACTGAAACATTGACCAATATGTATATTGATTAATTTTTATTGATGCGCTGTGAAATTGTATTTGGCGATGACACTGTTCAATAATATTGACAGTAATTCTTAATATTATAATTGACAGCGCTTCAATAAAAATACAAGTTTTTTTACTTTATTTGATATTTTGATAAATCCTTCAATATAGTCATTACACGAACAATATTATTGTCAATGTGAAATATTGATCAATATTATTGATGGTTTAGAATAGATAATAAAGGATTGCGCATTATAATTCCAATACAGTTTCGTTTATTCAATACATCGACACAATTATAGTAAATCAATATTTTTTAACGTGTAGGCGCCGCTTAAGACGGGTCAAAATCGTTAAAAAGATCTTTCTATAATTAAATAAAATTTGTTTTGTTGTTATGTACATGATATAAGGTGATAGGAGAAATTTGTAATTATGTAGTGTTCCATGTACTCTGTTGTTATTCGATAAAGCGTCAATTTCCAAATTTGATTGTATTTTTATAATATTATCATTTTTAAATAGGTTAATCTTACCTTCAGCCGTTAATGAACTAGTCGTGTTAATTGTTTTAATCTTCTATTACCGGTAATAAAGCTACCATACAGTGTGTACGTGATAATACGAATACAAAAAATATATATTATAAATATATAATATGCAAGTATAAATATTTTACCAAAGCGATAATTTGTGATCAGTAAAGCGCTAAACAAAAGTGAACAAAAAATAATAAATAATGGCGAGTGATATAATAGGTAACGAAAGTTGTAAAACAACAATACTAACAAAAAATACTAAACCATTAGCTGTGTGTGAAGTCCATATATCTGGAGATTATATCATACTATAATATTAAACACGGTTAAGGCAATAAATCACAACAAAATGTTCAATAAATAAAGTATATACAATATCGTGTAACAAGACAAATAAAATTCGTTTAATTAGTAAAAATAGTCCATGCAAAAATCTAAAATATGTATTTACATTATATACTATTCTATTTCTAAATAATAATAATATGCAGTCTACTATTATAATACTATGTCTGTCATAGTTATTATGTCTATATTGCACTCGAGATTATTATATCACGACCGTATCGTGTAAAAATACAAAACAAAACAATAATAAAACAAAACTATTTGCTATCATTTTCAACACTTGTGTAAAACATAATAAAATAATAAATTCATACACAAATTTACAAAAAAAAACCCAAATTAAACACAATAATTATTAAATTATAAAATTTGTCTACGTTTCTACAATTATTATTAGTTGGTAATAATAATAATATTATTTGCGCATGTTTTAGAATACCTAATACTGTTTAATGTTTATTTACATTGATGACTGTTGCATTTTAGAAGAACCTAACGATTTGATAGGCTCAGTCCTGCACAAATATAAAAAATAAAAAAAATACCATGAATAATTGGTCAGTAGTTGTAAATTGAGTCCGGTTTTGAAAAATAAGGTCGGGGTCGCGATAAATTTCCTAAGAAGACAGAATTGGTATTACTTTGGAAAAAAAATACAACAACTATTATGATATTGTTATGTAAATTGGCGTTGGTGAAGCACTCGTTATCTTCCTCGAGCCAGTCGAGGGAACGGTACTATCTGCTTAACGTAGATAAATGCAAAAACGTTATGGCTGATTTTTTTTTTTTAGCAAAGAGCTAAAAGCAACTGATTCGGTGTTTAAAACAAAATAAAATTATAACGAATCCCGGTTTCTGCACACCTGATTAAACAATTCAGGCTACAGCAGCTAATAATGATCGTTGACAAAACAATAGCGTTAAGGCTCGACCGCAATACAGCGTTTTCTGGGAAATATTACACGGCCAATATTGTAATTACATCTTGGTTTACAAAATAAATTGTAGTTAACAATAGAAATTTGGTGGGAAAAACGATACGCAAAGGAAAAACAATGAAAACTTCTTTTTTTTTTAAACTAAATTTAGAATAGTTTTTTTTAATATAGGTATTAGGGGCAACAGATAAAAACGGATTGAGGAAAAAATTATTTCAACGGTTTTATTAGGAAGTTGTTGATTTTGATAGCTCATGAGAACTGCGCATAAATCTCCTTAAAATCATTTAATAATTATTCGGGTATTATATACATGTACTTATAGACTATATTCGTGTGCGATATATTAAACCCAAAACATCATGCAATATCACACCAAAAACAGTAAATTAGTAAAAAAAAAAAATGATTAGGAACATTATTAATTCGTTTTCGTTGCGAATTTAGATTAATTAAGTTTCAAACAATTCTATTGTTATTCACATGATAGTATTAATCGATTATAATCATGTATATATATATTGTTAAACACCAACCCCGTTGAATAGAGAAAGTGTGAAAAATGATTGTTACACCATAATCGGCCAGCAGGACACGCACAATTTTCATATTACTATATTAACATAATACTTTTTTGGTTACGTTGGAAAACCCGTTGTTCCAAGTGCGTAGAAAAATACAAAATACACTAAATACAAATCCTACACTTACGAACATACGGTAAGTAGGTAGTACAAAAACTGAATAGCGTTACAAACGGTGTATAATTATTATGTACATAACGGTTGAATACGGTGCGGTACAAAAGGTGAAAACAAAAAAAGTGCTGTGTGTGAGAGTGATTTTATGTGTGGTGAAAAGTTTACGGTTACCAGATATCCGTTCTGTTGGCAAAGTCATTACCTTGAGCGTTCTCGCTGCGAGCCTTTTGCAGTGCCATCAACATGTTCGGCGACTTTGCCGGCCTCGGGCTGTCGGAGTTGGCTTGCCTATAGCTGTCGCTGCGCTTGATAACCGATTTGATTTCGTCCAGGCTCGTCTCCAAGCAGTCGGTCGGGTCCTGCATACGGACGTACGCGCCTTTCACCACTTCCTTGGGCGACAGACTGCGCCGGGTCGGCGATATCAGTGGCGACACGGGTTTACCGCTGTTTGGATCCCGGCAACTGTCCGGCAATACAACGCGGGACGACTGACGGGTCATCATGTGGTTAACGGTGGCGGCCGTCACCGGTGGCGCGGACGTCCTAGAACGCCGTTGACCGGGCGAGCACGACAACGATATGGGCACCAGTGGCTTGAGTTGCGGGTTGACGATGGGACCGGCGTTGACGGGCTTGCTGGGCTGCGGGTTTTGAGGAGCGCCACTGTGGGTTTTTGAGATAGTGGCGGTTTTCTGAACGGGGAAGATTTGCTTGGCGACCGGTCTAATGTTCAAAGGAGACCGCGGTATGGCCTGAAAACATGACAACGGATAATTACTAATTAAACGTAACACACATTAATTAGGAAAATAATACAGAAATCGGCCGATACTGGGCACTCTATTTCGATTAACGACTTTAAGAATATGACGTCATAAATGCTTCCGACTCGTAGCCCGACTCTTCGATCGTATAATGTGTTTTTTTTTTATTTAATGCGCTTACCTGTGAAATGACGTTTTTCTTGATGCCCGGCAATTGCAGTTCGACGTTGGTACTCACGCACGGTCCGGGTTCAAACGTGTTGGTCGTGTGTATCTTTTTCCTCCTTTTCAGACTGTCCGACGTGTATATCACTTTGCCTTCGGCGTTCAACGTCACCCTGGCTCCCATTTTTTTTCGTTCAAGCGAACCAGCGGGCAGTTCGTTCATGTGCACAAAGTCGTTGACGACTTGCACCGGTCGGACCGTGGCGGCTAACTCTGGCATAACGTGGGCCAGCGTCACGTACTCGTCGTAGTCTTCCACCCCGGTCTGTCGCAGAGTCTTTAGACTGACCTCGTCGTCGCTGATGGGAGGCGTGATGACACACATGGATGGTATGCGACTAGTGTTGATGGTGGTCTTCACCCTGAGCCTCTCCACGCGGTCGATGCCCTCCAGGTCGGAACACTCGGACATCTCCAGGTCCACCGATGGGTTGGTGATGGAGTCCACAGGCGAGCTGCAAGTGTTGTGACCGCTGTCCGGCGAATCGCCGCAGTTCTCCACGTTCGGTCGAGGTTTGACGTCGATCATCAGCCGTTCCTCCTTGTACCTGGTCACGTTTTCTTTTGTCAACCGCGACGGCGCCGTCTTGGACTTGTCGTAAATCGAGTCTTTCGGCGGACATCCGGCGTGCAGATTCCGGTCCGGCAGCGATCCCCCGTACGGGTCGGACAGCTTGCTTCCACCCCGCTCAGGCACGTTCGGCGGCGACACCATCAGAGACGTGCAAACGGTTCCGGCCGAGCTGGCCGTGGTCGACGTGCTGCCCCTGCCGAAAACGTCGTACTCGCTCTCGGCCGAAGACGACTGGAAACTCGGACTTAAAGCGGACGTGGTGTGCAAAGCCGACATGGGCTGCAGGGGCGGATCTTCTTCGCGCAACGTCTTGAGACCGCTGTCCACGTGGAACGATGTGTAATAGCCCTCGGTGTCGCACGAATACGTGGAACCGGTTTCCCCCTCGTCGCTGGTAACCGAACTACCGCCATGATAATTCGGCTTAGTACTACCGCTACAACTGCTAACGCTTGATCTGAAACAAAAAAATAATAAGAAAAAAATGTTTACGTTTTGTGTACAATATCTTACACGATTGCCAATACGGTAATATTATTTCTAATCTGTTCAGACGAGTAAAAATATACATATACCTAATTGTGTTTCTTTTTTGTACTTGCTTTTTGTAGATATTTTACGTATTATACTTAAACCTATTAATATCTACGCATTAAAGTATATTCAATATTCATATTGAATCTAAACTCCAATACGCGTTTCGTCTCACGTTACTATATAATTTAAGAGTCTTCCCGCGAATAAGATAATATTATAACGAAAAACATAGAATATTATCTTTTCCCGATACGTATTATAAAATTGTTCGCTTTTAAATACGGACCCGTTGGCGAAAACGATTAAAAATGAAATTGATGTGAATTTATTATACTGCAAACCACAAAAAGTATATTATACCAGTGGAATTTCTGGATCATGTCGGCCGTGTCTTCGCAGCACGATCACCGATGCTCTTTCGTTATTTATAAGAACTCTCGTTCTCACACTTTTCCCACATTGCCCGTCGACACGGAATTAATCTTCCAAAATCATAATATAATAATTGAATTCGTCGGTTACCTTGGTACGTGACTAGTGGACGTAGACTGTCCGCTCTCCGAGCTAGCGGACCAATTGCCCGACGAAGAATGCACGGGCTCGTCTTTACTGTCCCATTTCCTTCTCGCCAGGCCTACCTTGCCCTTTTCTCTTAGTTTGACGGCGGCCAGGCCGGCCGATGATTCGATACTCTTAAACTGCTTCAGCCTAGTCCTTCCCCAGTCTTTTAGCAAGTCCAGATTTGATTTCTTTTCGGTCACCACAACGGTCGTGCTGCTGGACACGACGTCGTCCGAATCTTTGTTACTGTCCGACAACGATCTGCAACAAACGCAAAGTCAATTATAACTAGTTATAAAGGTGATTTGATCAGCAACAACAATAATAATTATATTGTTATACAGTACACCCTAGGGCCAATAAAGTTATAATATTAATAACAACGTAATTACTTACCCAATAACCGCCTCGAGCTCTTTTTGATCGGTACCGGCAATAGTGTTTCTTCTCTTCCCTCGGGGTCTTCTGCTCTTTCTCCTCCTAACCGACGTCTCGTACTCGACGTTTTGCAAGGATCTCCTGAGCGCACTCATGCGGTTGAAACTCCTGCCGGAAATGTCGACTTCCACGATTTGCGGAGGGAATCTAAACGTATGAAGTCAATGAGATCAGACGGGCTGTTACCACACGGTGTATGTTGACACTCAGTGTTTGTATTACAGAGTATAAAGCATGATGGCATTTTGTGAAGACCACTTACTTGAGTGCCACCACGTGTTGTTGTTCTTCCGGCGACGGTAGCTTATGATCCACTTGATCAGTGTACGACGGACTTGGATCTCTGGGAATTCGCGACGAACAATCAGGAGCCACGGTGATATCGCCGAGCACTTCTTCAGACGTCCACGGCCGAAGGTTGGTCAACGCCGCGGGCTGCAAAGTTTAATTACAGTTGAAATTTAGATATAATTGTTTGGCCCAACATTCCCGGGTGTCCCCCGCGGGTCATTAAGTTAGATTGTATTGTGCCACGATAAATAACATCCGCCAGCCCAATTGTTTCCAATGCGTTACCGCTGTTCGCATCATACCATTGTTATAACAATATAGTATATATAAACAAACACGGTAAGTTTCATGTACACGGACTGTCGTACAACTTGCTACCGATTCATTCGATAGTACAGTAATAACCGACAAGGAGAATACGGAATATTTATTATGTAGTGTGGTGAATCATCTTCAACATAGCGCAAACAGTGACCCGAATGTCAGTATTATGGTCGAAGTGTCGACGGGGGTTCGAAATATTTGTGTTTCACATCAAACATTAAATCCTTAAATCATAATATTTTGCGTACTACATATGTTTGGAAAGTGGATATGAGAACTTTTTTTGATTCGTTTCCTCAGATAAACTTATTTAATACATACTTATAGATGTTTCTAAAGATCTTTATAAAACAAATTACAATAATTCTGTGTTTGAAAATAAAAATAAATGTCAATTTTTATTGTACGTTGTCATATCTTGGATAATTTTCAATGACATATTTTAAGTTTTTATCGTTAATATACATAATATAGTATGTAGTTTATTACTGCATGTTGGCCTTGATACTAGTAATTTATTAAGAAAAAATACGGGCAGTATTTAAAAAAAAAAATTTGTTTTACTAAATTCTGATTGTGTTAGCTAGAATCCGATGGCCAGAACTTAATGTTTTATAATTTTAAATAAAATTATATGAGTTAAAAAAAAAAAAAATAATAGTTAAAAAATCATAATAGTAAAATCACTAGTAAAAAAAAAAATGATAATAAAAGTGCACGTTTGAGTAAACATGTTTTTAAAAAATGTACTTAATTTATTAACCTACGTTATTAAATAATATTTGTGGTCGGCTCGTATTAAGTATAGTGAACTTATATTACTATTTAATCGTGACGAGTATTGTTAGCTTAATGTTTAAAGTAATTTATGTTTCTTCTGTAATGTATTGCTTTCTGCCGTATTATGATGGTAAAATATAGATACGACTGAGAATAATTGGTGGTTTATAGGTACCGCGACATTAAAACACTAAATTCAACGCCTTGGACGAGTGGCGTCCAAATCGAATTTATTGTTTTTTTCACCGACAAGAACGCCGAAACCTTGACCGGTTCGATTCAAGATGTTATTATCTACACGGATCGCCTCGCACTATAAACCATACTATTACAGTAATATTCAAGTGTACATCAATAAACCTTTTCACCTTAAATGCATTTCGTTTTATTATACTTTTTTATTTGTATTATTTTCAGATATTATGTTATATTATAAAAGATTAATAAAACTTTCTTTTAAGGAGTACTCATACGCTATGAAAACAAAACAAAATACTTGCAAGTGTACATACGATATATGTACCGTAAAATCATTAATACTTAATAGTATATCAGTTTGACTTTTTGATATTGGAGATATTTTTGTATATTGGAGAATTTAATAGTGTTGTTATATTTTCTATTCACATGTTTATACGAATAGGAAAACGGTCATACCCATTTCGACTAAATAAGAATAATAGGTACATTAAAGTATAAGTATTTAGAAATAATTTTAACCATAAAAAAAAGTAGAGCTATCGTAGCTGTTTATTTAGTATGTAATATTATGAATGGACTATAATCCGTTTTTTACTATATTTTAATAGTCAGAATAATTAAATTAGCAAAACAAAGAATTTAATACTAAAATATAATTATTTAGCATACGATTTTTCAAAATTAGGTTGTTAATAATAGTTTGACCGAATTTATAGTAATTATTCATAATTATAGATTAACAGTTATACAGCATAACATACTTAAAATTTACTCAACAATATAGCAACTATAAGAAGAAAAAACATAATTAATAAAAATACAACCAATAAATTTACATACATTAAAAAAATTCTATGTCGAAACAATTTTTAGTGTTTTAATTTTTATGAAGCACGGAATTAGCTTCAAACATATTTTAATATGTTCATGCAAAGTTGTAGATGGTACCGTTGTTTTTTTTTCGCTTAACTTTGTTGGCAATCAATGTTTAAATAAGTATAGACAATTTTAGTGAATTGCACGTTTTAGCATTAGGTAATATTATAATGAATATCATCAACGTATTTAGTTGGTTTGTACAATAAGTTTATAACGTCATTCAATAAGAATACCACATAAGTTCGCTGACTACATGTACATCTATAGCTTATTTATAATTTAATTGTACCACATTTGAAGCTAAATTAAAAGTACAGTTCTGTAAGAAATGTATATAGGTCAAAAAAGTTGTTTAACGCTATACAGTTATACGAACCCTACAATAGTTGGTATATAATTCACGATAAATAGTGTTTACATTATTTTCCAATTCAGGGTTTTTGCATTACAAGACTTCCATAAGTGTCATATTGTTTATACAAAAATAATATGCTTATGTGATTAGGAAACATTTAGGACTAGACTGTACACAAGTTGCGTATTATAATACACAACAAGCGTGCATATAATAATATAGGTCAGTTAAGAACACAAATAGATATTATTGTTTAGCAGTGATAATTATATTATAAGTTGTGTTTTTTATATTTCTGTTTTAGCATCTCGACAATTATTGTAAGCCGTGAGCCAACTCTTAAAGTAGAAAAACAATACGAGGCGTTTAGAAAACATTAATATTGCATAGTAAAATAAGGTACATTTAAAGCCAAAGGGAGCCAGATTTGGATTCTATAAGTGCTATAGCCTATAAGCAGTGGTTAAAGATTAATATATACAAATATAAATATGATGTATATTTAAAAAGTTTGATTTGAAGAACATGATGCAATTTAAGAAAAAACATATATACACGTTGCGTGTTATGAATATTTTTTTTTAATGTGATTATTATTAATAAGAAGTACTGCCATATGACTCATAATCTGGGTTGACATATCGTAAAAATATTAAGAACAAATTTGAATAGCAATGTTTAAACATAAGTATTAATTAAAACAAAGTAATTATAAGAAAAAACGTTTAAAAATATATTAGGCGTACCAATGAAATGGGTCTGGAGAACAATGGTTTTCCTAAACAAAAAAAGGCATTTAAATGAAGAAAAAAAATGTTTGTTCTGTTTAAAAAAATATATGGTTACCCTGGACTTATTGTAGAACGTTTAAAAAAATGTTTTTTACTCGCTCGCTAAACAATTAGGTCATTAGATTATTTCAGGGAACATAGCTGACGGCAAAACTGCTAATTTATAAATACACACACACTGATGTCTTGACTGTTTAATTCTCTATTTTCGTACGCTCGGCTTAAGGCGGTGTCAGAGACGGTTAAAAAACAAAATGACTAACGGATAAATAAGTGCGAGGGCTAAAAAGAAATTAGAGAATTAGTAGTAGCGTTCGTGCGAATAAAAAACGCCTCGGCCGCGTATATTTTTTTATTTTTAACAATTCAAATGCGAATTTAAAGTTATGTATTATTATTAGCCGTGCATGGGAGTCGTCAGTTACAATAATTATTATTACTATACTGCAGCACTATGCACAGCAGCAGCAGCAGCAGCTGGCGGGGTGCAAGTTCGGCACACCTGTTGCGCGTCCGGTTTTATTAATTCATCCTCCTACAATTTCTTTTATTATTTTCATAGAGACGGGATTTAATTTTCAAACGTGGAGTCCTACTCAAACGGACGTCGGTCGAGTTGTTATACAATACTGTATTCGCGACCGGAACAAAAAAAATTATTAATGCGGTTCAAGTTCGACAGCTTTTACGCAAACGGCGGAGAGGGGGTGGAAGACGCAACCCGACCGGCGCCAAATGTTTGGCCCCGTCACAATAACATGGCAATATTATTATTATCGGCCGGTCCGGAATTAATAAAACCCGCGGGAGGGTGAGAGGCGAAAAAGCGCCAGGGTTGTTTTCCGAATTAATTCTTCTGAGTTCGTGTTTGAAATACCAAATTCGTACTAGCGGATCCCCAAAAAACCCGTTTGCGTCCCAGCACGCGTCTCGGCGAGATTAGAGCGTCTTTTATAAAAGACAAACCGCAGAGTACGGCTAATATTTTGATTCGTCGAAGCGGCAGTGTCAAATAGCTCTTAACACACACGAGCGCGTGCTCACTCTGGATTAAATATATAGGTCTAAAAATGGCAACATTAATATACATATACACCGTATAATCCATTAAACGTAGGACATTATTTTACTGTTATCGACTTTTGAAACTTAAATAAAAACGTGTATAAGAATTAAAATACTTGTTAAAAGAAGAAGAATTTGCTGAAAATGTTGACTATGGTTTCTCTAGGAAATACTAAAAAACGTAAATATTCGGTAACTTTATTGTATTGTACAATAACATAATACGAGAAAACGTTAAATGGAATAATACCGTGTTCACTGTAGTGTTTTTCTACAAAATAAAGAATTTTGGATACCTACAAAGTAATATACAATAATAATAGGCAGGCTAACGAAACGTGTCGAACATTTTGTAGTTCATTATATTATTGTCTTTTTAGAAAGGAAACGACAAAAAGTCACGAACGCTAGCCTCTGATCGAGTGAAATCCTAGAACAATATATATTAATTATTATTAACAATTGACATTCGAGCTGCCGACTAAATTATAACGTCAAACGTTCATTTTATTTTACTTTTGCCAACAACAAAAATGTTTATTTTACTTCATCGGTTTTCAATATTTAATTATATCCATCAGAGTACACCAATAATATCTATCAGCCGTCACAGTTTATAACCACAGCAAGCCAAAATTGATTGATACTTTTATATTATATTATACACTTGACGTTGCATTTGTCGCAGTAAAAAAGTCCAGCGCTTGAAAATCGAATTAATTTTTAATTGACTTAATGGTATACTTAAAAGTGGCCTAATTAATAAGGCGTCCAATAACGAATGACCGTAAATCTAATTTGCAATTAACCGTTAACGCGTTTAATTATGCCAATTGGAATACGATATAACATTATTTCAAATAGAATCTTATCAAATAATCATCCGCATTTGAAACGATTTTTGTTTACGGCCGCAGGTTTCGGTTTAAAAACTTTACTCGGATATTTTTTTAAACTTTTGTGGCTTCTATATAAAACATAATGGAAACTATCTCACGCTGTTTTCCACACGATACACTGCTATCGTACACACCGTTTAGTATACATACCTTTCTGAGCTCGATGTCGTTGTGCAGACAACTGTCGTCCAACGAACGCTTCCTCCTTCTGGTCTCGGCCCTGTGGAACTGGTGTTTGTATTCGTATACTTTACTGGGCACGCCGGCTTGATCGTACAGTCTCTTTACCCAAGCGGGTCTGTTGTCGGCCGACAGCAAGTTCTTGGTTTCCGGCTGTTTGCTCTTGAAGTTGTCAGTCCTCAAACTGAACGCCGTGAGATCACTTTCGGCTGTAACGAAAAACACACGCCAAGGTTATCGATAGATGTTTCCTGCAGAGTAAAATATTATAGTCAAATTATATACACAACACACGGTTGTGTGTGACTATCATTTAACAGTTTGCAGTAAGCGCGGAATTTATTTCAATATTTGAGCAACTAAATACGTTTCTCTACCGAGGCCGCAGACGATATTGCAATGCTCTCACGGAATCAATTGATACTTGTTATGCAAATCGTAAGTTTTCAAAACGGATTATACGTCGGATATTATACATTTAATTTCAATAATAATTACGAGCATTATGGGAAAAAAACGCTGTACAGAGTCACGTTGGTAATCATTTCACAAGTATATTATGTGTCCCATCTAAGGCTGTCGACTTGTTATTCTGTTTTCATCAACGGACAAAAAAGCATTTTATTTTGATAATTTTGTTTTTTGTACACTTTTTACAATCAACTGCCGTCCCTTTTGTTTGCACAACCGTGTTACGTACGTTCAAGCGGATAATTTTTACTAGGTTTCCCTTTCTAGCCGGCTTGCGAGTCACTATGTCATTCCAGTGAAAGCTTTAACGCTTTTTGCATACACATAACCCGCTTCCCTTAAACGGTCCTGACCTCTCCGCGAATGAACGTTGTACGATAGCACTTACATAATGGCGTTGAATTTGCACGCAACTCTTGAGCATGACATTTAATCTCCTCGATACCGGCACGGGAACTACATCAAATCTAGGCCGAGTATCGGTTACGGATATTAAAAAAAATCGTACGAGGAGAAATCTAAGATTATCGTTTGATTTTAATACCTATTATATGTTAAGTACACTATATACTCGTATTCCACAACATCAATTCTATACAATATGTTAAAAATAACATTCAGTTCTACGTGCTCACCACTCATGTAAAAATTTAAAAGAATTCAATTTTTTTTTAAGAAGAAGAAATGATAGTTTTTAAAAAGGCAAAATAAACACAATAGACAATATCTATTGTGATAATTTAAACTTCTTCAGTAATCTGTAATAATATTTATGGGAGCGTAACAAGATTTAAGTTAACTGTAAAGAATAACTACCAACAAAACAGGATTTATAACAACCTTAAAAAAACAGTTTTGACGAGTCATTTGACAAAAATCGAATAAGTTAATTATTATGACTGTACAATATACCTGTGTGTACATGTTACACGGGCTTAATAATTATAATTGGTCGTACGCATGATACGGTTTGTATATAATATAGTTGTTATACAGTACCAATTACAAATATATTTAACCGTGACACTTGGTAATTATTTCCAGTTAAAGCGCAACACTATTGTATACTATAATTGAAATCGTCGCGATAGCTTAATATCAATGTGTTGCAAGTATTGCTTTTAGCATTAAGTAAACATTATTCAATCTATACTCAATGCTTTTAGCTATAGTATCTACTACCCATCTGCACGAATGTATCATTGAGTCTAAAATTACAATCTAACGTTAAGTAAATATTTTTGAAAAATAATTAGTACTTAAGATTTCAAGTTTCTCTAAAAGCTCATATAAAATCATTTATTGAATAATAAACAAAATAATTACTATATTATAATATATTAATATATATATATATATATATATATATATGTTTTTTTTTACTTTTTAACTAGATGAAACATATTATATAATAATGTTATAAATAACATCGTACAATAAACATTCCGATTTCTTCAGCCTAAAATAAAAATTGGTCATAAATACATTATTTTAGTCATGTATCTTCTTTAGCTAAGTATCAATGTTGAACAACTACAATTTATTATTTTTTTAAACAATAAGAGGATCGATCGTGTAGTCGAATGCCACTAGAACACGTTTACATAAAAGCAAAGTTTTTGGAATGTCCCGTTAACTTTCTAATAAGAATAGCTCTTTGGGGGTCACTTTTCTTTCGATGTCTTGTGTATTGGTGTATTGCTGCCTGAAAACCCCCATATCCCCCTCCCTCCATAAATACGCCCACGAGCTACTCGCATGTATTAAATATATTATACAGTTATAACAACAGTAGGCATTTACGATGCATTTAGTCTACGTTACAACGTTACTGCTATTTGCAGGTGGCAGGTGTCGCGTGTTTTACAAATTAATAAAAAAAAAAGTTTTCACCGTCGCAACGACTAACATCTGGCCAGAGTCCAAACACTTGACGACGCGCCCGCACATAACCGTATAACTAATATTATTATATTGACACAACGGTGTTGAGCTATCGGAAGTCTTGTTCTCTGACAACATATTATCATCATCATCATCATGTTTTTGTAGCTTAACATTCCTTGAAGACCCAACACTGCAAACATGAGATGACAGTGTTGGACGAATACATAATATTATATTATAATGGTATTCATTATTGTCGTTGCCTCAAGTATTAATTTTTCTTTTCCGGTCAGATCCTGTTAGCCGACAACTGTTTTTTGGTTAAGACTGACCGTCTTGATCGATTGATTCATCCGTCATCGCGGTTTATCTCTTCCTCTACCGTGATCGACCGTACGTCGTCGTATGACTTAAGCATACTTAAGCCCGGAGGCGACGGTGGCAGTTTTACGGTTCGGTGAACTCCGCTCGACTGCTAGTAAAACGGACATTGTGTCTATATAAGGCACGGCTAACCGTCGCGTCTATAAAATGTGTTCACCGGTGCTTGAACGGGACCGGTCTTCGGTTGCCGACTGCTAAGGTGGTTGTCTCGTGTACTAACGGCGAACGTTTAACAATCTCGGTAGTGGCTAGTTCATACAGACATATATGCACGAGAAGCATTACAGAAGTACGGGTTACACACAGATGCAGGCGAATAGAGATACTGCAGACTGGAACGGAGAAAGAGCGAGATAGAGAGAGAGAAAGACAGCTGCTTTTTTATTCGAGAACGTGATGCGATTTCGAAAATATGTCTCACGGAGAGCCGGCAGTTCTTTTATCGAGATAAACCACCGTGGGAATGTCACCACATCGAGCTAATAAAATAATAAATATTATGTAAGTTAGTTGCCGTATACCTCTATTGTAATGGTATTAAACAGCGGCGGTCGGACCTGTTAAGTCGCCGATTCGATCTGTTCACACTGTACCGCCTAACCCTGAAAATATGATTTTAAATGTTCAAGTGTATGGGTTGTATGGAATCTAGAGGGAAACGTGTGTAAGCTGGCGAGCTCGGTAAAATGAAAACAAAATAAAAAAAGCTATTTTTGATATTGACCTCGTTCGATCGCTTCAAGATAAAAACAAGAGCCAAACCAATAGTATATTTTTGCATGTTAGAAATGTCCAGCAAAATATTATATTTATGGTTGGCACCAAAAAACAGACACAACAAGGGAGATTAAGTTAATTTAAATCGGCATGATCTAAATCAGACGCCTGCTCAATAGTTAATCATCATCAGAATTATTGTGGAGTTCGTGACGCACAGACCATGTATAATTACAAGCTATACTCGTATGTACATCGGATGATATAGCCAAAAATATGTATATCTTGTTTTACTCACGCAGGATTATTAAAAATAATTATTGTATTCAAGTAGAGTTACTTCAAAGAAGAACACAAAATAATTTTTTGTCACTGCTTTGTTTTTTTTTTCATATAATGAGTTTTTGTTTTAAGTGCATGTATTTAGTTGGAACGAAAAACATCAAACGCGCCGTCATAGATTCGTCGTATTTGTCGGTGACAGAGTAATAGTTTTAGGGACTGTAGGCGGCTGTAGAGCGATAAGGAAGACTTAGTATTTATTTTTTAGTTTTTAAATTAATATTTGAAACGGTACAAACGTAGTGTTTGTATACGTGTATCTATTAAAAAAAAATTGCATAAAAACAAACTGGATTGAGTAGTAGAAATCACCTGTTAATTGCTTTATCGATTTGTATAATTTCGAATTTCAATTCGTTTTTTGAAAATAAAAGTCCTTTTCCTATAAAGCTACAACAGACTTCCAACTGAACGTACGGATACGTAAACGCAAAATGTCATTATAGGTAACATTTAGGGAAAAAATACGTATATATATATATATATATATATACCGCGATAAAAAAATGCTAAATTGCATGTTCCCTGACAGTTATTATAGTATGTTTACCAATAAAACCATCGGAATCGCTTCTGGTAGGAATTCTACAGAAATAATTTTACATCGACCATTTCAGATAATAAATTAAAAATAATTATATACTGCAGGGTACTTTTTTTCTAGCAGTTTCCTCGTTTAATACTGTTGTAGCTTATAATTAAGGCTTATGGGTTTGGGTATTGTTTGAAGTGCTATAATGATAGCCTCGCCACGAAGTATGTGTCAACGTTATTGTAATAACAAGTTCACTTATTTATTGTTTCCTCTATACTTATAATTTAGAGAATATTATTTTAATATTAATTATTAAATCATGAAAAAAATAGCTTCTATTTATAAAAATATTATTAAAACAATGAGTATATTTCCAAACGGTAAATATTCTTTCCGTGGTCATATTTAACCACTTCTTTATTTAATAAATCAGACATTTTTATAATATAAATCAATCTATTTAACTGTAGGGCTGTAATGTAATATGCATAAGAACTCAAATAGTTAAACGAAAATAATAAATAGCTAAAATCGTGAAACTATAAGTTTCAAAATGATAATTTAAATTCAAAGCGTCACGGTTCATGTCAACTGACAGTTGTACCAGGACGTTGTACATAGATTCACAAATGAAAAAATACAAATATCCCCCAGTCACATTAGTGGAACGTTAGATAGATATTTTAAAATTATATAAATAGGTATAATAAAAATATTTTCAAATACCTGTCTGTTGTCTGTTGATTCACTCACGCATAGAAATCTAGAAATGTACAACGCTCAATGCACAATATTTATATAAAAATAAGTTTGCCTACAGATTTTTAAAAAAATCGTTTATATAACTAAATAGATTTATAAATATATAAATAT